TTTTGTTTTTGGACGAGTCTGAAGCTCCCCATCGACCATTATTCACTTCGTTTTAACACTTTCGTATCATCACTACACAACGTCTCGACGCATTTCATAGCAACCAACATCTCTTCTTTGAAAGCTGACTTAAGTCTCCACATTATAAGGGTAGCCATGCTTGACCCATTTTATATCCTGGTCAGACGGCCTTAGGTTTGGTACCAGCATGGTTAATCCTTTGCTATGATCCTCGTAGTCTATGTAGACCTGGATGGGACAACGATTCGAAGATTCTTCAGACCCATAGTTGGGACATTCTGTTGTTGCTCCAGAAGAACTTGGGTAGTGCATGACGCTATCAATATCGTAAACGTCAAGAGTAAAGAGGGGAAGGAGATTTCCGGTAATGCCTTTGACGAAATGGCCGCACAAGCAATCATACTTGAGTGCATATCTCATATTATCGCAGATGTCGGATCGGGTGACTTTAGGGTCGCCCTTAACTTTGGCGCGTTCCCAGCACTGCGTCAAATCATCATTGATTGTTCATATTTGCACGTATAGGGAGAATTCTGCTTACCTCTTCGAAATCGTTGATGTTCTCGTATTGGACCTTGATATAGGTATCTCGATCACTACGCTGGTGTTCATGTACCATACCTAGCTTTTGTCAATACGACTGTCGCAACTTACCATTAGATGGCACCTCTTACCCATGACATGACCGAGCTCGCTTAATGTGAGAGTAGGAAGTCAGTGTATGTCTTGTGTTGAGCTTCTATAGCGATACTTACTGCAGAACGCAATGGAGACATTCGCCGTCTCCGATGTGAAGCTGATTGGCCCAAGGTGTCTCCTGGTTAGGTTGTAGACCTACACTAGCACTCCATCCCATCTCGTCTCCACCCCAATAGATAGCCAGTGTTGCATGAGGCAGAGCTGAGTTCCACTCATCGGGGGCTTTACTGTCTGGCGTACAATAAATCGGCTTCCCCTCGCTGTTCAACTGCTCCTCGAAACTGATGGCGTGACCTGCTTCTTTGCCAGCAGGGCCAAGATAGCTAGGAGCCTGTTGATCAACCAGTACATCTTTGACCTAGTTGGCATATACTTACGACATCCACGTTCTTATACCATCGGATACGATCGGCAAGGCGGCTTTGCGAACTTCCTCCGTTTGATAGCAGTACGGGATGACGGCCTTGTTGTCCGAGTTACGCGGCCATCTCACTGGAGCTCTTCCGACAGGACCAGCAAACATATCAGTCGCGCCTTGACCGTTTTGACCGATATAGGCCTGAGTCTCATCGAGATACTGAGCCCAACTGGCCGCCCTTGTACCATTTTCAAAAGTGGGAAGGGGAATACCACAGGAAAAAATGTCATTGGGGCCCGGCTTATGCTTGATCACACCTGCACTTGCGAGCGCTACAAACTGTAGGAGATTTGGTCGCATCTTGGTAGACCATAAGCCAATCGTGAGTTGAGATAGGAACAGGGAAAATAAGGTAGAGAGTAGACTCGCGAGCAGCACCCTTGACAAGCGTGCGTTTGGAGGCCACTTAGTGAGCCCAAAACTGGATAGGTGAAAGTGAAAGTGATAGCGAGACGACGTGGTGACGCGGCTGTACAGAGCAGAGGGAGAAAGGTGTTGACTGAAATTCCGTGATAGTGATTCCAAGACGCGCTTTTCTCTGCTCCACTCGCGGCCCTAGAGAAACGGAGGATGAAAGACGTCAACCTAAACCATATCATTATTTTTTCATCCCGTATTCAGGTAAACGTCGACTTAGATCACCGTTATCCAGCTCTTTCTGACTGAATGGAAGATCAATCGCCACATACACATGTTTTCACTTAACAAATCTTCAAACATCGCTGATAGCTAAGACATTCTTCGACGCAGTCGAAGCGACCTCCAAACCTAAAGCAAAGAAACAACATCACAAGTGTATAGAGCATAGCATGACGACAAAGCAGATTAAGACGAAAGCAAAACCGGACGCCCAAAAGTCGACACTACCATACCCCGGATACAACGAGACACTATTGCTAGGTTCAGAGTCGGGTTTTTGTCGGTCGAGACTTACCACTATTACATACGAAAGCGCGTTACTTAGATTGGGAACAATTAAGATCCCCGCACTGACACAGCAAGACCCTGCTCACCAAACACGTTGTCCGGGAAGATCAGCGGAAATTATCTAGGTTTGTCATCTCGGCCCTTGTAATTATGACAAAATTTTGATTTCCTGACGGATCGATCGCGAGATGCTACCGCAACTTTAGAACAGAATTTGCAATTTTATTTTCGTTTCTCTTCTTGGCAGGGAGATGATACTTAGTGACTGGAGCGGTAGTGACGTTGACGGCGCCAATGACACTCACAGCTCATCTTGTAGGTCCTGATGTCCTGATAGTGACATACTAAATCGTCCTGATGACCACTCAGGACAGAATTTGTAGACAGATGTAATAGTGAAAACGAGCCAGTGGAGTAGGATCTCAGCTTCTTTGCGAGCATGACCTGTGTTGTTACGTTTGATAGACCAGAGCCTGGTAAGCCAGACCCGCTGTCAAAAATAACGGTGATGCTGGCTTGCAGCGATGATGCTTGGGTGACCATGTTTGAGGGAGCCTATGAAGCTGTTCGGACCGCAGTGAGGCGTTCGCTGGACATGGTGTACGGGAGTATGAAACAATCGTGGGGTCGTCTGGTAAGGCGGCGTGAGCTAGATCTGAAACCCGGTCAGATAGTTGCCAAAAGTACCATCGCGTGTGTGATTGTCAACATGGCCTCCAATATACTAGACGCGTCGTTGTTGCGTGTTACGGGGCGGTGGCAGCAAATGGGGTGTGGGTGTCTCACAGGGCTGGTGTAGCGCCGATCCTACAGTAATTTCGCGGACGGCCTGGAGATGATCATCGTCAGCGTATAACGGCAGGCGGCGGATGAGGGGCAATTTGCTCACCTCGTGGCACCGATGCAATGGATTAGGTCCAGCCCGGGCTATTCATTTCGGTATATAAGTTGAAACTTGAAGAAAAGTTAATAATATATACAACATCTCAGACGGACCATAGGTATTGTACATGCAGAAAGAGGACGCCCTTATCTGCAGTAAGCTCAGCAGTTGCTAAATCACAGCCAAATCAAGTAAATCATTGGTTGACAACGGAAGAATCAGCCATGTCGGCATATGGGCCGCATGGCACATGCAGTAGTGCAGCTTGCACGCGAAGAAAACACCGACGTTCATATTAGGCAATCAGCCTTCAACGTTCCGAGCAGAAGGGGAGGCATGCCCGTTCGGAACCGCAGACAGGGGCGGGCTGACGGTAGAAAGACGGCCACACGGGAGATGACACGACAGTTGGACCAGGTGTACGGATACAAATCTGGCCGGGCCCGGTATCGCGATAACAGAAGACCAATTGAGTTGTTTCGCTCGAGAGTCGATCAGGAGGAGTGCTCGAGCATGGTTCTGCACTGATGGTAGTACTTGGAAAGGGGAGGTATGACAGCAGCAGGCGGTTAGGCCAGGGGAAAGTGAGAAAAGGCCACCGGGACCATGACTAGGAGGCTGGGTGATTCGCTCGCTTCATTGTGCATCCCGAGGTTAGCGGCTTCAGGTACGCGATGGGCGTTTGGTACTTCTGGGTCGCCTCCCCGCATACTTTTGGCTACCCATGTATGAGGCTGGCGATTGGATAGTATATTTTGCAGCAGCTGCAGAGCTGACAGGTGCAGAGGCAAAGCTGACGATGGGTCGCGGCAAGACGACAAAAGCAAGTCGATGGAGGCTACATAGAGGATGCAGGGATGGGTCAGCCCCTCCCGACGCCTGCAAGGTACCGCCCAGGGCAGGACGCTGATTGGACAGAGCGCCATGGTAGCATAATGTCCCTCGCCATGTTCATGATACTTTTTGTCGTTGCGGCAGCTGGATATGGCGGGCCAAGGGCTATCATGAGAACGTGCGTGGGTGTCTTGGAGACTGTGGGGTGAGTGCGCATTTGTTATTGGAAAAGGAAAGAATGCCTCTGCGACGCGTCTGAGGAGGCAGGAGCGACGTCTGACAAGGGAAGGCGCAGGTCTGACGGGGAAGAAGCGTCGGCGCTAGCAAATGACCGTTTGATCACGTCGCTGCATCTTCACTCTGCGTGTCGCCCGCATCCCCTGGGACGGCGCGGGTTTTGGGCTCAGCGGCGCAATCATGGCCGTCAGACTTCAGTCAGCCTATCGAGCGGATGCTGGCCCGCGCGTTATGGCGTCTCTCTTCACCCTGCACCGCGACGCCCATGCACGACGCGGAAATGAGGCTAGTGGAAATTGATCCTTGTACCATGTGAGTGTGCTTGTCACTCCCCCAGAGGCCCAAAGAGTGCATACCCACGTCGACCCGCTCCTCGAAGCATCTTTTCGGTCGGGAGATCTGCTCTCTGCATTCTTTTCCTTCACCACGCCAGCACTCCGCAGCGCGCGTGCATTCACTCCTTGACCTGTTGTCTCCAGCTATACACGCTCCTTAACTTTTGCTATAATCTATTGTTTTGTACTTTTTGCCGCCAACCGAGCCATCCAGAGACGCCCGCGCCCAAGCACGCCTGCAATCGCTGCACGTCTTCCTTTTCATCCCGAGCTTCCTCCTTCGCCTCTTGCCGACATTACATTCCCCCGTGCCTAGGACACTCTTTCAAAAAAACACTGCTCGCGATCGACTGCACTGTTGTTTTTGGCCCCGCTACATGTTCGCGTCTGCTCTTTCCTCCCAGCCCGAGTCGCCTTGCTCTCACCTTCCCCACTCATCGCTCGACTGCGCCTGCCCACCCTCCGCAGACAAGGTCCGCTCCAGATTGGTTAGCGCACAATCGTCGCTATAATCCAGTCTAATCGTTGCCACCAGTAAGAAGATACCTCCTCTCGTCTACACTGCCAAGGCGCCCGCCGTTGCCTCTTGCCTTCTCCAGATGCAATGGCGCGTTCGAATCTTTTTGCTAATAACTACCAGGGCATCATGAATCGTTGGCTGAACAGGAAGAAGGATGGCAGTGAGGATGTGGCCGCTGCAAAGAAGACAAAGAAGGGCAAGAAGGGTCAGGAGGAGCCCAAACCAGAGTTCGATCTCAGTGCCGCGCTTCCCAAGGCAGACGACTTCCGGACAAGTCTAATCATGCCTGGCCTATCTACCCGCTTCAGCATGTTGAAGGAGCAAGACGACCCAGACTCCAAGATCGGTAAGGCCAGCGACGACAGTGTACTACAACCGAAACGCCAATCACGCCTCCACGAGTTTGGTTTCGTCCCTGGTGGCCTCTCCGATATTGCCGAAGTCTCCTCCCTCAATGGCTCTATTCGACCGCCCTTTGCAAACGAGCGAACCAATTCCTTCGACAGCAGCAGAGACGACGATGGCTCCGGTAGCATGATGAGCAGAGCTAGACCTGGCGAGGGCAACGTCTTGTTTGGAGGAAGGCAGAAGATCTACATGATCTCCAACAGTAACGCTAAGGGTACTGGACGGACACTATACGACGACGACGTCAACATGTCAGCATACCAACGACTTCGACAAGAGGAAAAGGAAAGGCTGAGGCAACAAGCGGAGGAAAACGAGGGACAGCATTCTGAGCCATCTAGCCCTACGGAGCTCAGTCGTAAGAGGGAGACTTCATCATCCACCAACTCGGGCACAGTGAACACGCGTACGTCCACGGCTGCGACATCAATAGCATCACAAGGTACCAACTCCGTAACAGCGTCCTCTCCTGCCTTCCCGCCCGCAGGTGCCCCTATGACATCCCCCGATCTCAGTAAATCGACGACGAAACGGAGACTCTACGATCAAGGACTGGACCAGCAAATTCAAGAGCAACAGTCCTCAGCCATGAACCGTCTCAATTCCATACAACGGGCACGTGCGCCAACCGGTCGATCAACACCACCAATTTCCATAGCGCAAGCACGGTCTGCCACCAATCTCAGCGATCGCTTCGCTAGAGGGCCAGGCTTCCGCTCAGATAGCCCAAACTCGCTCCAATACCCGGGCGTGAGCAGGAATAACTCCTCTGGTGCGTCGAGTCCCGTCCTCGCTCGTCCACAATCGCCGGCTCTGGCGAGTCCCGTCATTAGCGACAGCGAGGAGGCACACACTCTCAATGCAGCACTTCAGCCCAATGATCGAGGCAAGGCCACGGCCATGGGAACTTTCAATAAACCTAAGGCAGCTTTTAGCGAAGAGCAATATGCAGAGCGCTTGCGCCATATGCAACAGGACCGCGAAGGACGCAGCACACCGACTAATAAAGTCGAAAAGTCCCCGCCGCGCAAGCCTACTTTGAGAGAGCGTGCAGAACAGCAGAGGCGCAAGCGAGCTGAAAGTGACGCAAAGGAGCGGTCGAGCTCTGAGTCGACTGCTGAGCCCAGTCAAGCACCGTCTGCATTCTCCAGGTTTCAAGCTGCCGCAAGCCAAATGAGAACCGCAGGCCCAGCAACACCGAGCTCACCACCAACACAACGTCTCCCAGAAGTCCCACGTCAGCGCTCAGATAGCAACAAGGCAACTTTCTTCAGCTCGCCCGATTCCAGTGATGCAGAGGAAGAGGCCCCCAAACCGACGGTTCCTCATCCGATGGAGCCCACCCGCCGATTTGACAACCTTCCTGTGGCGACTGGACCTGCACCTTCAATATTTGAGCATCCTGCTCTCCGCTCTCGAACAACATCTGAGGAAGAAGTATCTCGGACAGGTCCTGCGTCGTACAGCCCTGCGCTAACCCAAGAAGCGTCTCCTCGTCCTGATGAGACGGTCAAGGTGGACGGTACGGAGGTTGACTCCCCAACATTAGGTCCTGACAACGGCGGACTCAGTGGAATGATACGGCAGCACCTCCGTAACATGAGCAATGTGTCTTCAAACTACGGTGAACCAGGCCCACCAATGATGAGCCCACCGATGGGACTTGCCATCCATACGCAAGAGTTCGGCCTCCAACGCCGCCAGCCAGGATCCGAATCAGTCACACCCGCACCATCGACCTACAGCCATTCCAACCCATGGGACTTGGATGACATTGACAACCCGTACCGCGACGAGAGTGGCAAGATGAACTCAGAAGATTCGATCAACGGACAGGATGCGACACCTCTTGTCATGAGCGCTACCGAACCAAATCCTGCGGCTCCTTGGGACCTTACTCCGCGAAGGACCCACGAACGAATTGCCAGCAATGAGACAGAGGCTGACCACGAGGCTTTCCAGCGGGATCTCGCCCAGAGGCAGCGCTTAATACAGGAAAGCCTTCGTGCAAGGGCTGAAGGTCGGTCAACAAGCCCAGCACCTGGCGGACCCTCAGGCGGATTGAAGACTGCTTTGAACATGCTCCGTGCAAAGTCGAGCCGGGAATCATTCGCCACAGTTGATGTTTCAAACAAATCGGTGAGGAAGCTTGCTCTTGGGGGAACTTCAGCGAATGTTAGCAGCACCTCGCTCGTTGGCCTTCAAGGTGACGTGCCTCCACTGCGACCAAAGCAGTCTCGAGTACTGCAGCAAAGTGAGCAGGACGCACAACGAGAGTTGGAACATCGACAGCGATCAGCAACAGAAAGCAGCCGGACTGGTCGCCCAACAGGCAGGTCTCCACAAGCATCGACCAGAAGTTCAACACGAGAGCGCTCAAGCTCAGGAACATCATCAGGCCGCTCTCGAAGCCGCCCTCGCCCTGATCAATACCGTGACGATCTCGATCAGGCGATGACCGAGGGATCCCGTGGCGCGTATCCTCCTAATACAATGCCATCACTTCCTGGTTACGTCGCTCATCCAACACCCCCACTTCCTGCTGAAAGGCCATCACTGGATTCTCAGGGTCGTATGCGATCGCGTAGCAACAGTAAAACTGCTGCAGCAAATTACTTCGAATCCAAGCATCTTCACCCCATCCAAACCAACACTGGATCAAGCCAGAACTCTCGCCTCCCTCCTCCACAAGGCAAGTTCTCCCCGGGAATACCAATTTCTCCACGACCGTCCCCAGGTGGCTTCAATAATGGCAGCGCCAACGCCTTCTCGCACCCAACCTCTCCAGTACCTCCGTTCTCCGCCAACCATACTCCTCCCGTCTCAAACCCCACCACTCCCAGCACAACTGCTTTCAACCCAAGTACTGTGCAGCCATTGACTAAGACTGGAGTGCTACGGAAGAAGTCAATCGCGAAGTCTGAGATTTCAGAGCCTGTCTTTCTCTCCACAACATCTTCTATTGACACGATCAACCTTCCAGCTGGTGCTTCTCTGAAGAATGGTATGGAGAATGACGCACCGCCCGTTCCGCCAATCAACCCTATGAGGAGACGTTTTGGATTCGGTCGCGGTGAGAGTTCAAGCCCGACAGGACCATCACCTTACGATCCTGCCGTACAGCCTGGTATGGAGGCACCGCGAGCCCCTTACGGCGAGCCCCTCCGCACAAACTCGTCTGACGGACTGATGAACCAGTCCCAGCAACCAAAAGGCAGGTTGCGTAAGGCGTCAAGCGAAGGCAGAAGTCTACGTGGAAACGCCCAGAGCCAGTTTGGACCATCTCCAGCTATGCCTCAAAACGGGTTCACTATGCGCAACAACTCGCCTCCACGTCCTACAAACGGCCCTGCTGGTAGCCAACAGCCTATGGAAGGAGGCATGTTTTAGATGGCCACTTCAAGAATTTGACACCTGACAGTTCTGTCGACATTCCAATATTTGCGATCAAAAGCGAACCTTTTTCGATTTTTTTGGCACATTCGCAAAATCTTATCTCTGTCTGTTTGCCTTCAGTCCATAGGTTCGCCGTGTCTGCGACCACGGCCTTTTTCTTTCCTTAATCATTTTTCATTTTTTGGCTTCCGGCTCAGCAATATACCTTCCGTCCTGCGACTTCTCTTTGCAAAGATCTCTTTTAACGATCAACGATAGGGTTCTGGCTAGATTACAACCCTCACCGGGCTGGACACGGTGTTTTTGGAGGTTGGCAATCGCATTGAAACAAGTTTGAGTACATTCAGTAGAGTCGGGTTCGGGAGGATTGCATGTTTATCGGAGTCGAAATGTACTGCTAGTCACTACAGCCCTTTCACGGGCTCGCTAGGTTTCCGGTTCAGCATCTGCTGCTGGACTTGCGTCAGCCAATATGGTGTTGAATGCAACTATTACACCGCACAACATCTGTCTCATGAGCAGAACTTTTCTAGTCTCAAGTCTATCGATCGGAACGACTGGAGACAAATTGCATCATCGCCCATTTTGTCTCAACACAGCGCAGGCTGTGGGAAAGTATTCAACGGTCACAATGATGCTGAAACCCCCGCGTTCAGTGTTTGGTCTGATCCATTTACCGTGCCGCCTTCCCGGTTTCATCGCTGCCGTCATCACGCATCACCAACGGCGCAGACACCATCACATTTGGAAAAGCTGAAAGCATGATTCCATTGCCACGCAGAAGCAATATGAGACATGATACTGCTGATCTGCAAGGACGAGCGACTCACAGGCTTTGTGTTTCAGGCGCCGCAATAGGGGACGTGCGCGAAATCGAGAACGTTGGATCGTCGCTCCAGAAAGCGACTCACGAACGATAGGCTCGAGACGAGGTAGAGTGGTTCTATTGATTTCGTAGAGAAGCTTGAAGGAAAGGAGACGGGAATTTAGATTCCGCAACCACGACGAAGAGATTAGGATCGGTGTGAGGAGAAAAGGGATATGGGTAGGGATCGTGATCTAAGCCTGCATGCCGCTTATCGCGTACCTGCATCCTTGGATCCTTCGCGCGTGGCTGTCCCTTGCCGAACTCAACTAGGACTCACCATTTACCCATCGGCATTTTTTGCCTAGACAGTGGATCCCAATCTTGCGCAAAAAGATCTCTTCATCCTCTGTGGCTTGAACACGATATCGTCAGAGCGCAAAGTGCCATTACAAATGGATAAGCTGTTTCCGATGAATATTGTGCATGTGCAGCCCACTCTATAGCGGTGCGCTACGCCACTAACCCGTTCGAACCGTCGATGGTACCTTCCCCATCCGCATGCCAAGACGACATACTTCTTCCTAACGCAGGGTCGGCATCTGGTGCCGCACCAGCGAACGCAGGTTGCCCGAAGCAGTCGTCATGCAGTAAAAGCAAACAAGAACAGGCAGGATACGTGAGAAATAGACAATTACCAGAAACGCAGCGTGCTTTCATCGGGTACACTATCCCCCACATTCACTACAATGAAGCCCGGAGCCTCAGCAGCATGCCTGCCAAAACATAAATGATACAACTCCGCAAGGAAGATGATTGGTCCGGCGAGTAAGAATCGCACCGTCGCGTTGACGCAGATAAAAGCAAGGACGCGATCCCTCCACCCTTCTCCACTGCTGTGCCACCACGCCGCCTGACCAACGCTAAAGGACCGCAAGCTCGGCGCCATCCCAAACTCTAACTGCGACCTAACTCTTCATCCGAGGCATATCACGCACCTATGCGAGGCTCATGGTCGCAGTCCGGCCCTCGTAACTCGACGAAATACACGCATCTAAATGGTATAGCTAACGTAAACGCATTGTGCAGATCAAGGAACGTCGAGAAGAAGGGAGGGGAAATGGTCAACCCAGCCTGTAAGGGTGGATCGCGGCAATCCCTGAGACGATCATCGGGTACTCCAATGTTAATCTCCACGAGTCTTGTCCTATGGAGTAAGCTTGCACCTAGGCATTGGTGACCAGACTAAGTTGAGACATTTGTTACCCTTCTTACCAGTACATAGGTCCCTCTCTCCCCATCGTTTCTCGCTCAACCCTGTTCATCCACCCGTCTCTTCGAACATCTCACCTATACTCCATATTACCTTTGCCGCAGTCCCTACAGCCACTTATACCACATAATCAAGATGCGTTTCCAGGCCACCGTTCTTGCCGTTGCGGCTTCGCTTGCCTTCGTTGGTGCTCAGGATTTGAGCGGTATCCCGCAGTGCGCTGTATGTTACCTTCTCCACATTCATTGTTGATTCGATGCGATTTCGGTAATCGCAATGAGATAGCTCCACATCTTTTGAGCCGACTTCAGTGCATCTTCATTCGAAACGTATAACTAACACAATAGTTAATAGATTCCCTGCTTCGTCGCCGCTCTCCCTGGTTCCAACTGTGGCGTCACAGACACCAAGTGCCAGTGCACCAGCGGTCGTTCCGCCATTGAGAACTCTCTCCTCACTTGCGCGCCCGAGCGATGCCAACCGGCTGAGATTTCCAGTACGTTGATACCTCTATATGCATCCATCCCATGTCCATACCTAATCGTATCCTAGGCCTTGCACCCGCCGTCTCTTCCCTCTGCGGCGCCGCCGGTGTAACCCTCTCCGACATTCCTACCGCAGTAGCATCCTCCGGCTCCGCTGCCGCTACCGGTTCTGCATCTACTAGCCAGGTCAGCGGAAGCCGCACCATGAGCGGCTCTGGTTCCCCCACTGGCTCCCAGGCCGCTGAGCAGACCGAGAACGCTGCTGCCGGCAAGCTTGCCAGCTACGGTGTTGTCGCCATGGGTATGGCCGCTGTTTTCGGATTGTAGAGAGATTTTGGCTTTGGGAGGGGGAATGAAATATCGAGATGGCGCGTCTTGGTAAATTAAGATTTTGTAATTCAGCGGTCGCTTATACGTCGGACCGCAATAGATACCGTCTTGTTCGTTTGAATTGTCGTATCCTAAATACCTTGCGTCAAAGCATTGTGATGCCAATTGGTTTCGTATGCTGTTCAGGCAGCTTCCAATGCACTAATCCACTTGCCAGACCATATTGTGAACTCATCATCTTCACCATTCCAACTCTGTTTGACCAGCTCAATCGCGCTCTTAGCCTCACCACAACATTTATCAAGTGTTTGTTTCGCCTCATCTTCGTCCAGATCATAGAATGCACCTGCAACGTCGTCGACCGTCTCGGGTATCGTCTTGAGGGTGTTCATAAGTTCATCAAGCCTTTTGCAGGGTGTCGAGGTGGTGCCGTCCGGGGCTGCAGTTGGTTCGAGTATGGATGACGCAGGATATGTCTTTAACCTCCTCTTGACCAGTGCTTGGTATAGCATACCTACCATCTTCAGCTTCTTGACACTGGTGTCTAGAAGTTGCTTTAACTCCTTGTCATCCTTGCCAATCTTGTTCGAAGCGCCGAAGATCTCGTCTTCATCGTCGCTGCCTTCTGCTCCATCGTCGTCATCTTCAACGTCTTCCCCCCATTCTTTCAGCTCTTCGATCGCATCCAGCAGAACTGCTCGTAATTCCTGCGCCTTCTTGACCACCAGTCCGACAACACCGTCTGCGCACAACTTTATCAGCGCGTCGCATGCATCCCATAACACACCAGTGGAAGACAAGACTTCTTGCTTCTCGCTCTCAGTCGGACCTTTATCTTTGCCCTGCATATCTTGCCTCTTCTCTGCCATCTTCAAAATTATGACAAGAACCTCTCCCCATGTCCCCAGTAACCTCCTCACCTGCGACTTGACTTCCGTGCGCATTATGTTCCCGATGTCACCCTTCTGACCCTCTTGTGGTACGTATGAGGCGGCAGCCACCAAGCTATTCAGCGGGCCTGAGCTCACATCGCCAATCTTCGCTATGATGGCCGAGGGAGTGAGAGGTGGGTTTATGAGGAGGAGCGACAGCGTGGTTGAATGCGATTTTAGGAGTGTTGTCGACGCTTTAATGACATCGAGAGGATTTGCTATCTCAGTCGCTGAGGCATCGGACTTCGAAGTGGTGTCTTTGCTGGGCGCGAGAGAGGATTGGAAGTGCGTGAGGAGTGCTTGCGTGGTTTTGGTGAGATCAATAAGTGTGCGCAGGTCTTTTGGCTTCGACATCGCGACGGGCTTGCTGAGTAAAACCCTGGACAGGTCTTGTTTCTTGAGCGATATCAAAATAGCTGACAATATGTGCGTCGTTCACAAGCCAAAGACTTTAGACTGTATCAAAATTTTGGTGGGGCAGTGACTCTTAGCGGGGTACCTAGGTAGCTCCGTCATAGCGGACACACTCCGCACACATGGCTGCAACAACCAACATCTCCACATCACTGTCCTTCCATGATCCCATCGACCCAGTTCTGAATCGAAATCTGATGTGCGAAAGACATTTCGATACCAACTTCGTCGTCGCTACTTTTCGGTCAGAAACCCTGCGATACGGAGCCTACACTCGAGGCAGTAATTTGTGGAAGGTAGACTCTATGTACTGCATTCAAGAAGTGCTTGGATGAGGTAATGTGCCACTTATGCATGTAATCATGTGTAAGTAGGCAGAATCGAGTTCAAAGTCTGCCCCGGCATCTGCTGAGATCACCACATGGCGCTCGCCCCGCCCTCATGCTGCTCAGAGCAAGCCTCACCAATCGGGCACACACACTAGAGGATGATGGCTGAATCGCGCAGCTGTTGACATTCACCGGAATCACAGACTGGCCAGTAGTAGCTTGCTATATGTCATCTCATGACCCTTCATTACAGGTGCATCTATCACGGCTTGCATCAAGTAATTAAGCCTAGATCGTATCATTCGCTGAATAGATCCGAACGAACTAGACAGCCTTGCGATCTGGATCTGGAGGACTGTTGATGATACCAGTCAAGCAGAGCCGCACGCAGTAGGACACACCAGTCAGGTGTATATCTGTTAGCCGTGGGTATGCGAAGGACAGAGGTTTCAGACTGCCTTGGAACTGGAGCGTTCTTCACCGGTTTCATATTACTGTCTATCAACCCCGAATTCAATTACGCCTCGACGCTGCCCTTTTGCCTCCTTGATACCTAGCACTCGATGTCTTACGTGTGGGATACATTTCCGGACTATCGCCTCAACCAGGCAGACTTGCAAGCGTACTTGACTGAATTGTATGGGTCGTATAACTTCTTCATCCAAGTATGATTTCCAGAAGTTTCAAATGGCGTAGGCTGAGCAAGGCTTGCAGGTCGTCAATGGGACATACAGATTCTGGATTCCTAGATCATTAACCTCTGTATGGGTAGATTTTTAATACACAGTGTTAATACAGGTCCTAACGTGCTTTCAGGATCAGCGAAATGCTCTTAAAGAACGGCGATGGGAAGACGATTGATGAAAGGTGTTGACGGAGAGAACGTGGGGCTATATGCTTGACATCCTCGTGCGCGGGGCTTAGCAGGATTTGGTGGCATTCGTCTAGGGCAGCACACCGGACTAGGGACTCGGGGCTGTGATCATCTCCAGTGATGTTATATAGCCTGGTTTACCCATTTTCCTCGGGGACGAATTTTTCATACTTCATCAATTGGTTTTAGTAGTCGTAATGGACAAATTCGTTCTATCTTGTGAAGGGTTCAAGGACTACCCGAAGAATCTTACACAGCGCAGCGCCCTCACACACAGCACGGCAGGATACCTTGATCGACTCAGGAACCAATCCAAATATCTTTTCCGAGATGTCCAAGACAAGCGAGTGGGAGTTGATTTTCTCGATTACCATGAAGCAGACCATCGTAAGCAGTCTATCGCCAGCCGCGATTTGATCTTCTAACCATGCACAAGGCTATAGCTCGGCGTGCATCAAGGATCAGCGCGAATTGGAACTCATTTTAGGCTTTAAACAACTAATGAAGCCTGAGGCTGTTGATCCAAGGTGTCGGTTCATGTTAGCGAACGTTACTATTCTTTGAGACCCAGCTGATGACGGCAGATTTCTAACAGCAGGCCAAAGCCGGGCACCGTTGCGTATCACGTACGACATGTTCAGCTTCCTATGTACATTCTACCAGGTGCCTCCTTCGTTTCTGGACTTCGTCTTTCCCTTCGGACTAAGGGAACACGCGCAAGACTTCCATTTCAGTGGGCTGAGAGACGAATCCCTGTTGGCCTCGTATGACAGAGCTTGTGTACTGCCCGAACTAGATCGTTCGGGGAAATACATTCGCTTCTGTTATAACCTAAGATCAGTGGAACCATCGCAAAGTCAGTCAAAGTTACCGTGGTCGATTCGCCAGTGTGCTGTATATCATACATTCGATGTAGAGAACGGGCGAACGTCCTGGATCATCGTCAAAGGAAACAAGGATATCAAGAATCGTGTGACTGAAACGTCCAAGAGGCAAATGCATGGTGAAGGCTCTCTCAATTCTCGCGGCGATGCATTTGCAGCATCTCTTGATACGCATCTTCTGCTATGCAACTGGTCCGGCGAGAATTGGAGATGGTATATCAACGATCTCGAAGATCAATTGCAGACATTAACGAGAGGAGTATTGGCATTTCAAGTTGAGAGAACTCCGACACCATTGTCATCGCCTTCACCACTAAATACCACAAGTCCACACCCCAACATGGGACCGTTTTGCAACGTATCACAGATGTCTCCAACAAGTCCTCCATCACGATCTTTCACACTGCCACCAGTTTGGACAAAACGATCCCCGAATCGATCAAATACTATGCAATCAAGTCCACATCCCTATACACAATCGCCGATGGGCAATGTTGATGACAGCTTGTGGACATCGGTACCAACAATGAACTCTCCTCCAAAGACGAGACGATGGAACTCAGCTCTAAACGATTTTCGTAGTTCACTGAAACGGCCGTGGCGTCTTGACACGACCAACGACAACCCGATATCTGGAGATGAAAAGCGGTTGTTACCATCTTCTGAAAGGTTATCGCCTCCAGAGCTACCACCGTCTTTTTCCTCCAGTGATTTGGATAAGACACCTGATATATTCACCTTTAGAAATCTTCAAGACATACAACACATTGAAGAGAAGGCACAGGAAGCTATGCTTGTATTGAAGCTGAACACAGATGTTCTTGAGCAGCTGAGGCTGCAGTACGAAGAACTCACAAAGCATGAAGAATTTCCTCAAGAAGTTCGTGATGACTGCAGAGCCAGCCTTCATCACTTTTGTAAAGGCGTAGTTGGGGTCGAAAAAGATCTACGCATGCTGCAGTCGCGGACGGAGACTCTGCTACACCTCTTGGCCAACCGAAAGACTTTGGTAAGTACTATACTCTCGAACTCTATCCTTAATATAGGAAATTTTCTGGTAAATACCCAGGCTAGGCCTATGAAATCAACAAGGAAGGCCGCAGCTATTAGCAGTAATGCAGCCACCAAGCACTTTCCAAAAAACGAGCAGCAAGAAAGACAGCACTATAGCATAGACATACACTAATACGGCATCACACAGGTAAGCGGTATATTGCAACATCGAAGCTCCAAAGCGAGCGAATTCTACGCAAAAGAGTCTCGAGAATGCGCAGCTCGCATGGAAACAATGACTCTGAAGATGCAAGACCTTGCCATGAAGACAAAGCAAGAGACAGTTTCAATGAGAGTGATCACCACTGTAACTCTTTTCTTCCTTCCAGCAACCTTCATCGCTGTAAGTGATCGGTAAAGTGCTTTGGGTCCGTACATCTACTGATCCCAAGCAGACTTTCATGAGCACCGATATCCTCAAATTCCAAAATGGCGAACAAGAACTACAAATACAGGGTCTGAAGCTATACTTGAAGGTTGCCCTGCCTGCGACAGCAATGACCTTTATCGCGTGGTACGTCATCTATTGCTTGGCTAGAAGAGAAACTAGACAGAATGATCGGTCCGAAGCAGCTGGTGAGGCTTGATATCCTGGGTTGTCCAATCATTAGATCGGCCAAGATTGTTTTACAAAGGGGCGACATCCTCTATCTTCCTAGACGTGTATATTGTAAAGGCAATTTCAAACCGTGTCTCGTTCGAATTGGACTGCCAATGCTGTTGCGCACCGCAAAGTATGTTCTGTAGTCTAGCATAGATACGACTTAATTTGACTGGTGACGCAGTTTAGTATAGCGATGCAGTCGGGCGTCCAGGGACAAAGATCATTGTGATAGCCACTAGAAGCTGAAAGCGTGTCAAACCTGAATCATAGGCCATGGTCAGTAGTGGACCGGTGCGTCTTGGCGGGTCCACGCTGTGTCAACCCGTTTGACCTAAAGCCAACGTCGCACCCACAAGGAAGATCATTCCTGCCGTCTAACCCTCCAAATATTCATCACTGCTCGTTGCCAGGACGTATCTGTTTGCACTCGTCGACATAGACTCATCGTAGGAGGTTTGCGTTCGTAATCGTCCAGGCTGATCAGTCCGACTGTTTGTCATCCTTCCTGGATCCGTCGGTCTGTTGTTTCTAATGACTCTCCTTGTCTTTCGTCGCGTCTTCTGCAAGAAAGACTGTATGATTTCAACTGGATAGTGGCAGCCTCAACGAGGACGATGCCACGGTGATGCAGGTCCGGTAGATTGTGGCTTGAAGCTTTTGGCGGGGCACTGGGGTTCCGTCTTGATCGCATTGCTTAGCGAACCACCGTAGAGCAGCTCCTGGGGCCTTAACTTCAGCCTCGCAGCACGCGCTTGCGAAATCTTCGAACTCGATATCAGCTTACGTTCCAAGCTTCATGCGTGCTGCTCCTCCTGCCGATCCGCTCTTGTACCCGGCGCGACTGATACCGACCGCGACTACCTGATGCGCGCTATCCCTAACGATCACCATGGCGCCCGGCACCAATTGCGAACTCTCTGATTTCCTCAAGCACGTAGAGAAGTGCAAGTGGTTCGCCATAGCTGATACTTCACCAACAGGCACCCGGCCCATCGTGTCAACACGCGCGCTTCAAACCTACCTTACTGCAGACAGAGTGCGGAAGCTCTTGTTATATGTCGCTAGTTCGCCCAACTATGAGCGCATAGTCCGGGAAAGATACCTGGTCGTATTCTCGATCCTTCTTTCGATAAAACAGGGTGTATACATAACGACGTTTATTCAGCACGACCAGCTGGCAGACGAAAGATTGCCTTTCCTTAGCCGCGACGAATGGCCGGAAGTCTGCAAAGTCATATTCACTCAATTCAACGAGACGCAGTGGAAATTCTGCGCGAAACGGCTGGTGTATGACCGGTTGAATGACACGAGGCTACACGCGAACGAGGTTGTACCCTTCAGGAAAAAACACCCGCTGAAGGAGGGATCGGACTCGACTATCTTCAGGGTCGAGTTATTTGAGGAGTATAACCACCTTTTCCCAGTAGGTCAAAGTTCTGAGCGCATACAAGTCCAAGCATATATAGTAAGCCACTGACTGCTGTGCGATAAGGACGAACCACATCATCCCCCTACCAGCGTCTTCATCCTGAAATCGTGTCGATCGGACAATACAAGGTTACATGATAACGAGGTAGAGGCTTACAGGACCTTACTGAGCCACTCAAGTGGACAAAATGCAATGCAAAATATGGCGCGCTTCTATGGTTCTTGGATACAGGGCGACACCTGTTACATATTGCGCGAATATGTTAGCGGCGGCACCCTCACAGAATTTTTCAAACGTACCGAGCCGCCAACATCAGCGAACGACATATTGAAGTTCTGGACAAATTTCATACAGCTCGTAAAGCCAATATCGTGTATACACCGTCTTCCTGATTCACACAACCATCGTTCGTACAGAGTAGGGTAGGTGTAAAATTCTTAACCTCTTTCTATCCTTGGCTCAAGCTGATCTAGTTATGAAGGCTACATAACGACATCAAACCGGATAACATTCTTGTTTCAGAGATGAACAACGACAGCCCGTTCGATGTCTCCTACAAACTCATAGATCTTGGACTCGCTGGGTTTGTGCTAGCGGACGACTCTGACGAGACACAACTTCGCGATGTGCACGGCACGAAGATGTATAGTACGTTGTCGTTCGAGACCCAGGTCTACTCTATTCTAACTGATCCTCAAGGTGCGCTCGAATACTTTCGTGGTGAGAAGGACAGGTTCAGACAACAAAGCATCAAGCAAGCACACCCAAGCAAAGACATTTGGGCCTTGGCTTGCGTGATCAGTGAAGCCGCAGTATGGTCCGTATTTGGTTATAACGGGTTGATCGACTACAACGAACGGCGAATAAAAGCAACTGCTGATATTCCCTCCCTTACGCAAACAGGTTATAGCGGCTGCTTTCACGATACTACAAAAGTTCTCGATGTCGTAAAGGACGTGCACAAGGAAGCCTGCCATGCGCGCCGGACAAACATTGATAATATCGTTAGCCGCGTCGTCCTTATCGTTGGTGGAATGATGGCCCAAGATCCTTCAAGGAGGCCAGATGCTTTGAGAGTATACGAAGACCTTACACGAGCTATAGAGTTAGAGGCCCCGCCCACAGCCACCACCAATGCTCGATACTCTATGCCCGTCCAACTGCCTCCAGATCTGCCAGTTGGGCTGGGCTTGGTGACGACTGGCACACCTCCCATACAGTCATCGTACGAGTCGCCAGGGCGTTCAACGTACCGTCCGGATCGACGTGCAACGATCAGTACAAACCCTGGCGCTCGTCCATTCTCCACAGCCTTGAGTATCGAAGAAGAAGATATTTCGAGACAAAGTCTTCACGTAATGGCTCGACACACTATAGACGTGCCGCAGCAGACTCCGGTATCTGGTATTAACAGTTCGTCTCAACATTCTAGCGCACCCGTCGGCCAGAGAGATCTTCCAGTAGCTTCCGTTGATAAAGCTCTAAATTACATACGCATGAAGAAGGCGGACGCGAGAACGCCTCCTCTACAAGGTCAAGAGTGGTTGAAAAGATTGCATGGCAGAGATCAGGTACGTCAATACTAATGAGTGGCTTATGACGGCCTCGCTGACTGAGTGGCATCAGATTTTTCTCATCGATGATTCGGCGTCAATGCACCAACACTGGAAAGAGGTCAAGAGGGTCTTCGAGGCTCTAGCCTATCTGGTCAAAACTAAAGACCCAGACGGTATTGAGTTACGGTTCGCTAATAGTTGTGAGCATGACGACCGCCAAAAACACCGTAATGGACTCATGAAGAATTTCGAAAAGGTAAAACCTGGTGGTCAGTGTCAGATGGGTATAGCACTCAACAAGATCCTCCCGAATTACTATCGAACCCAGATGAACAAAAGATCATCTTGGTCTTCGCGAGTAGAGGAGAAGCCCCCAGTCAATATTTACATCCTCACGGACGGTGTTTGGTCGCAGGGTCAAGAATGTCTTTCCACGGTTCAGGACCACATTACTCGCCTAGTCAACCACCTATGGGAGACTGGTAGATTGGAACATGTTGGTATCCAATTCATCCGATTTGGAGACAATGAGATTGGGAGACAGCGCCTGGATATTCTCGACAACGATCAGAAGCAGTACTACGAAGTGCCTAGAGACATTGTTGATACAGAGCCCTCCACCGGCAATATCTTCAAGATGCTTCTCGGGAGTACCGATGGTAACTGGGACAAACAAGATACCGGCTGAAGCAAGCGGCTAGGTGGGAGTCGTCATAACGCTCACACAGCTGCGATCAGGTGCACATGTAACCTGGTACCTACTACGCGCTCACTATCCTCGGGGGTAGTCTACAAGATATCCGGCACGCCGCTTTCCTTCTCCGAAAGTCTTGGGGCGAGAGGGTCTTGTTTGCTTAGAATTGCATGGTCGGATACTTTGTACCGCCCAACATTCTCTTTTGTTTCGGAAATACTGCGCACGATACCCGGTGTATTACGGAGTTTGCTAATGTCGGCGTTGCATTGGAGTCAGTGGCGACAAGCTCTATACACAGATCGTGGAAGGCATCATGAGAAAATTTCTTCGAGCCGTTCTAGACACACATCAGACGCCTTGATTTCTACATATATTTTACATCGATACCGTGACTCATGAATATCACTTCCAGCGCAACTCAGTTGTTCCGCTTGCTCTTCTCTTTCTGTTTCTTCTGCTTTTTCTTTCCCTTACCCTCCTTGCCCTCGCCATCGTCCTCACTCGCTCTCTTCCCGTTGCCATTCGCGCCCTTTGTAGCTCCCTCTAGTGCGCCGTCCGCGTCCTCATCCTTGACAAGTAGCTCATTCAGTGCATCGTTGAACTTTTCCAGCTCGCAAATTTCACCAATCTTGACGCGCATGTAGTCAAATGCGATGGCGACCTTCATGTCCTTGTTGCGTACTTTGATGACACGCGCATTTTCGCGGAGCGAAGACGAGGTTTCATGTGTGAGCGAATGGATCGGTTTCGCAGGGCCTGGAGCTGGTGCTGTGGAAGATGGAATAGTGGGGTGCATGTCCATGTTGTCTGCATTCTCGATAGTGGGGTCAACTTCGGCTTCTTCGTCTTCCATGGGAACGTCTTCGGCGACTTCTTTGGGGTTGAGTAGAGGGTCCTCTTCCTCACCGTCGGTGACGGTCTGTAAGACGGGAATTTTCTGGTATCGCTGGCTGAAGTGCGTGAGCACCACGGCCTTAGCATTCATCTGCGCGCCGATACCCAAAGCCTCGGACGTGGTGGAATGTTTCTTCGCCTTTGCGTCACCTTGGAGCTCATCATCGAAAGTTGCTTCGTGAATGAGGACAGTCGTGTCAGTTCCAATTTTGGAGAAGTGGTAGCTCGGTCTGCAGTCACCCGAATAGCTGACTTTGAGTGGCTTTACGTCTTTGGGATCTGATGGCGAGCTCGGGAAAGTCATTGAAACAGCCATGGCTCCGTTACAATGTGCTACCTTAGCCGCTTGTATGTCTTGGAACCCAAACAGGCGCTCATAGTCCTCTCTTTGCACGATCGGGTTCTCAGACACATCTTTTCCGAACGAGTTTACTATGGATAATGTCGAGCTCTTCCGTGGTTCATTGGCGGTGATTTGAAGAGGGAGGATCCGGCTGTATCCGAAGTCTTCGATTGCAGAGTACTCGCTGAGCCACTGTAGCATCCCACTGTGTGATATTACAGAAAGACCGTATGCGCTAGTGTTTATGTTGCTCGCGGAAGTATCGAGGGACTCGGAGTTGGGGACGGCATTGTGTACTACTTGGTACCATGCACGGATTACCGCCGCTGTACCCAGATGGTGATCAGCGTGTAGGTGACTGATCCAGATTATCCGCAGGTTCTTGATGATATCAATGAGCTCTTCATAGGGAAAGACTCTTGAAAGTTGACCAAGTGTGTTCTCTCCACAATCAAGAAGATAGTTGCCAATACCAGGAACCCGTACTAAAGTGGCAGACACGTTACGGTACTTAGACGGCAAAGCAGAACCTGTTCCGAGAGTCGTAACCTCAGTGTCAGGACGTGCCAATAGCTGTTTCCACATAAGCATGTCTGCGCGGTTGCTATGCACAGTTGCCTGGGCCTGTTTAGCCAACTCCAGGACTTCTGGTGGGGTCTCATTTTGTATCTCATTAGGAACGAAGAGCTTGGAAGCAGTGTCCTTCTTCAAGACAAACTTCGGCATGAGTGTAAAGGACATGCCCCGGTCAGCGGCGATGGCTCCTTTGGACAACAGCGATACTGCTGACGTACCAGTCCTATACAGACTATTTTGTGGTAGAGAAGTGTTGTCGAACACGGGCGTAGAATATCTTGTTGGGTCGATCTGTCCAAGACGCGTAGCCTGCGCCGCTACTGAGTCATTTGCAATGCGATTTGGCGCAGTATCCAGAGACGATATTACGTGTTCCACACCGTCCATCTTGTTCATAAACTCAACAAGAGTCGGATGGCCCGCAACGCCTGGACCCAGCATCCAAACGATAGCTCCAATGCCAGTCATCACTTCTGGAGAGCTAAGTTCTTCTCGCTGCAGGATGCTTTCAACGTACGCAACTGAGGGAATGTCCAGGATGGCAACACCTTGACCAGGCCTGTCAGCTCCGACAACCTGTTCTGGGGTTATTGTCTCTCCATTCGCATTCTGTACTGACTGGCCATTGGTCAGCTTTCCAAAATCAGGCCCCGGTTTAACACCTAGCGCTTTCGCACGTGCGACATCGAATTGACCACGAAATGGAAGCGACCGCACAATATACGACACACATTCTGGCGCTGGCCTAGTTGGTGGAAGGGCCAGAATGGTAGCGCCAGGCCACGGCGTCCGGGTCCAGACGGTGATATCGGGAAGAGGATCTGGGCCGCCCGGCTTTGGACCTTGGTAGGGCTCGTATCCGTGTGTGTTGGGGTTACGAACGAATATGGCTGCAGGCATTTCTACCTCGGAGATATGTCGTTCTACAAGTGTGTCCATCCTCCAATTCGAGTCAAACATGTACTTGATAGTCGCCGTCCGTATTTTTCCGTATCTTGCTTCGCGGTCTTCTGGACTCTCGTTCTCAGGAGCTTGAAATTCGTCAAACGTGTTCAAGTGTGTGTCAAAGTGCTTTTGCCGCTTTTCCAGTTCAGCTTCCGCTTTTTTATCAGGTTCAGAACCGCTCGGCGATACTGACATGGCCCACACTTTGATACTTGCGTCCTCCCAGGTCGGGACTATGACACCATCCTCGTTCTTCTCAGGCGACTGCTTCACATATTCGGTAGCATTGATCGGTATGCCCTTTCTGAAGATAAATCTCCGGCATGTTGCTAGTGTATGCTTTAGGTTCGGCGGTCCGTATATGTCAAAGTGCGGTTTTGGTGGCGCTTCGCCTTTCTTTCCCCGCTCCTGAGCCTGACGAAACGATTCCATGGCTGTGGTATAAGAGCTCGTACTCGAGTCAGCCAATGTGAGCATCATGCCAATCAACCCGCCCATATTTTTCCACTCTGCCCTTCCCGTCAAGAAGAAATCCTGGGCCTTCAGCAGACGTGTGCCCTGCTGTACCATTGCCCGTTGAGTACCCTCTGCCAGATTACCGAAAACATAGTGCTTGGTCGCCGTTCGCAGCACCAGCGTTGTGCCTGGCGTGTCAGCCGTAGGCGTTGTGACGATTTCGATGCTGCACGACATGTTTCTGCTCCAGGTGGCCTTACTACTACTACTACCCGTGGAAGCTTTTGTCTGTATACTTTCGAGTTCGGGCGGTTCGGGGATCGGTTGCTGCGCGGGTTGGCATGAAATTGGTACGGATCGAGCTCGGGTATGGTCTTTCGTTCCGTACTGATCCTCTTGGGCCCGTTCTCGATCGCAGTATATCAAACGAGTGCGAATCCTTGGTTTTGCAGGATCATGGGCCTTGGTCTTCTCTTGGTGTGCAATTGCAAGATCCGTCAAGGCATCGAGAGCTGAATAGCGCGGAGTACTAGTCGCAAAGGTTCGGAAGAGAAGGCAGGATCGATTCGGTACAGGGGCACGTCTTGAGTGGAGCGTAAAAGCAGCGTAGTTCGTATGCGCTACAAGCCGAACGCAACGTGGGCGCGATGCAAAGAACCGGACATTAGTCGTAATGGTCGTAGCACGCTTCGTGGCGCTCAGTTTGGAAGCCAACTTGACGAATAGAACAACAGACACGAGAAGTAACTATGTACAGCTTGTCGAAACAAAGAGCGGACGCAATGAGTCGTAGCGATGCGCGTCACTCTATTGCGATGCGTCAATGATTTTTAGGCGAACAGAGGCCCGTGCGAGCTAGATCGAGCGGACCGGTTCCGCGTCACTTTTGTTCTTGTCATTCATCACTCCATCTCGAAAAAGTCATTACTCTCGTTGGGTATTTCGTATCAATTATGCAACTGCGTATCATCCCTTGGTTTTCATGTTGGATCTATACATTCCTTCGAATACTGACTTTGTCACACACTTAGGCATTCTTCTTCCGTAGTGCTCCTCCGTCGACAGTGATATCCTGTCCTGTAACGAAGCCTGCCTCGATGAGATACAGTGCAGCGTCGGCAATGTCCTTCGGTCTTCCAGCTCTGTTTGTCGGGTGATCAGACACGTCCTTCTCACTGATCTGACCTGCCCAGTCCGCACCGTTCTCGTCACCTTCTTTGCTCTCATGTGCAACCTTGATGCGTCCAGGTGCGATGAGATTGACTCGAATACCGAGGCTACCTAGGCTGATTGCCATTGAGTGCATCAACCCAAGTTGACCCGCCTTGCTTGAAGCATACCCCTCCTGGTTTGGATCCGACTGGTGTGCACGGAAGGAGCCAATGTGAATGATGCATGGACCTGCAGGACTGGAATTGTTCGCGTTCTGGATATGCGCACCATGCTCGAAATCAGATGCTCGTGCCTTCATGTACGGAATGCAAGCTTGAGACATGGCGAAAGGGCCAGTAAGATTGGTGTCGATGTACGCTTTCCACTCATCGATGGTCGAGAGGTCCTCCATAGTCTTGCCATCCCTCCACTGTGGACTTGCGATACCGCCGTTGTTGATCAGGACATCAATACGATCATTAAAGAACTTGGCCGCCTCTTTGACTTTGGCACGAATGTCGTCGACATTGCGAAGGTCGCAGATCGCCGAACCAAGCCTGCCGTCGGCGTAGTACTGTTTGAGATGAACCTTGGTAGTATGCTCGAGCTCGTCTTCATCGATGTCGAAGATGTAGGCGTGGTGGCCAGCTTCGAGCATCATCCGAGTCAATGCTCGACCAATCCCTCGGGCCCCGCCAGAGATTATGATGTTTTTGTATATCGCTGGTGCTTGGGCTGCCATTCTGAGAATCTGAAAGTGTGGGGTTGGTGTGATATGGTTTGGAGACGTGTTCGCGGGGTGAACTTTGCGTAGGTGTTGTTTGTTTAAGTACGTTGGTCTGACGTCACGCCTCAACATATCGCTTGTCGCCACGGTGGGCGCTGCAAGAGATCGTAAAGTTCAAAACCATTATTCTGAAAGGCTGACCTAGGATACAATACCTTGTATTATATACGTGGCAATAAAACCATAGACCGTAGCTTCGAAACCCTAAAGAGGAAACAGACGATATTGGAGGAGGGGACATGGCATGAAAAAGAGCGACGATTAGCCATGGGAATGAAGAACACATCACCATGTTGGTGCACTCGGCACTTTGAGTGAACGTTCAAATCGCATCCATAAATCTTTTATCAAAACATGACAACCAAGTCCCTCCTGACGCCTGAGAACACCAAGTTCCGTCAAAGTACAGGTATATGACCACATGCATGCATCGTTGAAATCAGAAAAGCGCCGTCAGCCTATTACGGCTCACATTCCGTCTATTGCGAACGCTGGTAAACACCAACAACCATGGCGTGGTCACGCTCGAAGGGCTCAAGAGTAAGCTGCTCCTTGGGCTTGATGCCCATCTCTCGCAGCTTGGTGACTTCCTGTGCGAAGACGGCCTCGGGGGCAGCAGTAGAGTCGATACAGTTGGCCTTGATGGAGATGACGATACCACCTCCAACCTTGAGGAAGAGTCCGGCGTTGAGACCAACGATACGGGCTTGATCGGGCTGGGCAACGTCGGCGAAAATGCAGTCGACCATGCCGACGAGCATGCGGTACTTCAGAGGGTGACGAGCTGTGGATCATATTAGCGACTATCGAGAAGAGAAGAGTGGGAAGTGACATACCATCCTCAACAATGGGGATGACGTTGGTGCGGTGAGTGGCCATGTTGATGAGATCACGACCGGAGCGGTGGGAGAACTCAACAGCGAAAACGGTTCCCTCAGGTCCGACGATATCGGCAACGTGAGAGACTGATGTTCCTGAGGCGGCACCGAGGTACAGGACCTTGGAGCCAGGGCCCATGTAGATGTTGTCGACACCACCCAAGATGCCAGCGGCCAACTTGGAGCGGAAGGGGTTCCAGACACGGTACTCTGTGCTGGATGGGGCTTCGGTCTCGCCGTCCTTGGGCGCGGTGCTAGCACCAACGCTGATGCGCTTCTCGCCGTAAACGGACTCTCCGGGGGTCAAGTTCTTGGTGACAAGGAGATCCTCCTTTCCGCGAGCGACGAAAACACCTGCGTGGCGATGGCTGGAGAAGTGGTCAGTAGGTGCACTACGCAATTTGGGCAGGTTGTACTCACGGCTCAACAATGACCTTGGCTCCTCCACGAGCTCCGGCTCCGCCACGGCCTCCTCCACGGGGAGCGCCACGGCCTCTGGGGGCACCACGACCACCACCTCCACGGCCACCTCCACGGCCGCCACGGTCACCACCGCCGCGACCTCCGCCGAATCCGCCGCGACCACCTCGGGGGGTGAAGCCACCGCGACCTCCACGGTCACCACCTCCACCACGTCCGCCGCCGCCACGACCGCCTCTGTTCAAAGTTAGAGCTGCGCTACAAATGGATGATCGGGGAAAAGTCCGGAGAAGCTGATATCGTCAAGGTTGCACCCTAGCTGGAAAGCAATCCAGAGGCATTCGCTATATGTTATGTCAAGCTTGCGCTGTATTGTAACATAGCGAACACACTCAGAATGCAATCTGCATGGGTGCGACTCAAGGAAAAAAGAGCTTCTCCGTAGGGCAAAACGCGCATGTTGAGCAGGCAAACGTCAAGATATACAGTATCTATCCGATAGCATGTCGCTCAATATGGCGTGATTCGCGCAAGATGTATTCCGCGATAAAGATTCGAGGCGTGCGCAAATCGTACCTAGGTGTGAAAGCCATTGCTTATAACTGTCGGGATAGTTCGAGTAGGTTATGGGATGCGAAAGCTATTGCGCAGAGTTAGCTTTGATGTAATAGGTCATGAATACTGGCAAACGTACCTCTGCGTGATCTGTTCCACTAGATGCGCGTTGACTGTGCGCGTTGAAGTGGCTGTGGATACGGTATGTCGCGGTATGGGTGCTGAAGAGCTTCGAGGTGAAGTTCGAGCTCACCATTGAAACTTTTCTAATTAGCGCCATATTCTGCGCGGCCAATCACGTGTCGCAGCCACAAGCGGCCCACTATTCCTTAGCGAATGCACCCGGAAACCACAATGGATTTTCGATTTCCCTTCACGTCGCCAGTCTACTAACAACAACAGCACATCTCGACAAAATGGTACGTCTGCCGTCGCGATACTCAGTGCCAACGCTGCACGCACCGAACATGGGATTAATTGTTGCAGGTTCGCTACGGTGCCTCCTCCATTGACGGCGCAAAGTCTGCTCGCGCCCGCGGCAGCTACCTCCGCGTATCCTTCAAGAACACCCGCGAGACTGCCCAGGCTGTCAACGGCTGGAAGCTCGACCGCGCCCTCACCTACCTCGGAAATGTCTTGGAGCACAAGGAGGCTATCCCCATGAGGCGGTACGCCGGCAGCACTGGACGCACTGCTCAGGGTGAGTAGCCCTGCACCCGATTCGCACTGTGGACAGATGGAAAATTGCACTGGGGGAGGAGCTTTGGGCATGGAAACAGAGCCGATGTTGGCGATTGCAGGAACATGGGCTGACTTGAGCAGGCAAGGCTTTCGGTGTCTCCAAGGCCCGCTGGCCCGTCAAGTCCGCTGAGATCCTCATCGGTCTCCTCAAGAACGCCGAGGCCAACGCCGACACCAAGGGTCTTGACACCTCCAACCTGATCATCAAGCACATCCAGGTCAACCAGGCCCCCAAGCAGCGAAGGCGCACTTACCGTGCTCACGGTCGTGTACGTACACTAGCGTCTACAGTCGCGGTCTCCTCTAACATGTCTAGATCAACCCGTACATGAGCAACCCCTCCCACATTGAGCTCATCCTCACCGAGGCCGCCGAAGTTGTCCAGAAGTCCCCCCAGACCCTCGAGCGCCGATTGAACTCCAGGCAGCGTGGCCGCGCCGTCCGCAAGGCCATCACTGCCTCTGAGGAGTAGAGGATGTACGAGGAGATGATGTTCCGGCGAAGAAAACGGTCAAGGCATGGGCACGGTTTGGGAGTCAATGAGCGATGAATATTCAGGGTCTTTCCACACTCGTCATGTATGCATGATATGGCACTTCGATTTCTGCGGTGTCTGGTCCGTAAAATAAATAGGGCCACGTCCTGGTTCCCAAATGTTCAAAGCCGAGACTTCCAAAACTGTGTTCACGATGCTGATAGCTCGCATGCTTGACTCCATGTAATACCAAGGCACTTGCTGAACGTAATGGTGCTTGTTTCAAGCAGTCTGATTCTGGTCTTTCTCATGCAATTCCTGCTAAAGCAGCTTGATCCTTTTGGAAGCCGTACCCAAAATGCATTTTGAAGGTATTCGTTACAAACTATGTTGTGTTCACAATGATGTAACATGCAGCAATCCCATTATGGTGCCTTTAGGGTACAGCTCCAAAATACGCGAGCCTTTTTCCAAAGCTAAGAATACTTCCAACATTGTCCAAAGCAATCTCCACATGTATCGCAATTCATGGACCCTGATCTCGCAGAATTTCCTTCCACTTGTAGGGCTGACTGGATCAAAGCAGGCTAGCCTCAATCGAACCTAGCGTGCTGGAGGAACTTTGGCATCTCGAGCTTACGATGCTAGCAAAGCATAGGCCCAACGGCCAGCTAATCTTGCATGCCACTAATCCCTGCTATGAAGGTTGTTGCAAATCCTATACTATCTGTTCCGAGTCAGTTGTGTTTTGTTGCCTTGCTTCATTTCCTCTTGCCAACTTTCCCACGATCAATGACGCAAGCCCAGCAAGCCCAGGCATGGTCATGTACCTCGCCACAAAATGTGTCGAAAAGATAAGAAGTCATGTATAGACTAGGATCTACCCGTCATCCAACGTCTTTTTATTATAGATTTGTTTCTTTGACACAAAGAGCGATCTTCTTTTCACGTGTGTAACTGCCTCTTCAGTTTTTACTATACGACCATGGCTCGGCTACACCAATCTACTCGCCACAGGCGGCAAAGGCCATCCTATACCTCTCTCCTCACCATCTTCGTCACTGCGGCATGGGCGCAAGACTCAAAACGCGGTTTTGCATTCATAGGCGACTCGCATGTACCAGACAACCGCTTGCTTACCTCCGACAATTCGCCAATATCATGGTACTACAATTGGTCTCCATACCCAAATAGTGATCTCATTCCGGCGGACAGTCTAGAGTTTGTCCCTATGATTCATGGCATAGACGCCACGGAAGACAGTCAAACCGAACGCGTCATAGGAGGCTTGCCACAAAGTAGCAAGCACCTTTTGTCCTTTAACGAGCCGGATGGCACCGAAGGAAGTGGTGGTAGCAGCATTAGTCCTGAAGACGCCGCGAAAGCATACATCGATTTCGTCGTGCCTTTCCGGAATGGTGATAGCGGCGGCAGGAATTGGTTGATCAGCCATCCGAGTACTACGGGTAGTCCAAACGGTCTTGACTGGTTGCGACGCTTCAACGAGTCTTGTTATGAGATCGATTCTGAAAACGGATGCCCAACGGACTTTGTTGCCGTACATTGGTACGGTGCTTTTGATGGTTTGGCAGGCTGGTTAGGCACCCTGGATGAATTCTACAACACGAATTCGACAAGAGACCAGCCGCTGAAACTTTGGATTACCGAGATGGCACTTCCGCAACAAGACGAAGAGAACACTGTAAGTATGATGAATCAGACACTACCATATCTCGACCAACTGGATTACGTTGAACGATACTCGTGGTTCGGTGCTTTCAGAACAGATGATGCGAACGAATGGACCGGCGATGGGGTGGCACTGTTCGACGACGATGGTGGCTTGACCGAGCTCGGTGCTCTGTACTTAGGTGATGGATTTGAAGAAGGACAGAAGGGTGAGGGTGCAGAGGATGCGGCAAGTGGGCTAAGGGTCAGCGCAGGACTGATGGCCGCTTTGTCTTTGTGCGCGACAATGTTTGCCATGCTGTAAATGATATCCATGATAGATTTTCCTTTGACTGTAGATACCTTAGCGATTTGTATATATCACCGAGAGTGTATTGTAGTGTTTCTTGACTGAAGGTCATCGCTCCATACGACGCGGTCTAGCTCGGCTAACGAATTTCCGATCAACCGCCTGTACCTAGACAAAGTCAACGAAACCGTCACCTACAACTGTCAAACTACTATAACAACATACAAACCCCTGAGCGCACCAGAGTAACTACAGCTGACAGTCTGAACCTCCTCCTTCCTAAGCTTGGAATATCAACGATGCTGCGATGCTGCAGATAGCGACGACGGGCAAACATTGCGACCCAGTAAAGACAATCGCAGCACCTCTACGGAGCAGAGTTCGGCTTATTGCATGGCTACTCACACAGATCAACAATAATTGCTAGACTCGTGTGTGAACACGAAGCTGCCGCAAAGATGCACCGCGTCGCGAGACGCCTCTTTCCACGTTTCACGCCAAGCCATCTCCAGATCTGTCGAAACATGCCAAACACACCATGTTGGCTACTCAAACATCCTTCGCAATACCTTGGACATTTGATCTCACACTTGTAACGTTTGGTCTGGGAACTGTTGTTCCACTCGTTCCCCCAGATGCCACAACAATCGAGACCCTTGCACGACTCAGAAGGTAATCTGCTAACCGTCTCAAACAAGGTATCAACTAAGCTTTTACCAAACGCAAGACAAGCTTTTCTTCACTAAAGCGCTTGGAAAACAAGCCTTCAAACAGGATATCTCACGATCTATTCCTGTCCCGGCTCAAGTTGTTTCCTTTCTCACATGCACAGCCTCACCCTGTTGGAGCCTTGGCGGCTATGGTACTCAAGTGCTGGTGCGCACGCAGCGTCGGACGCGAGTATTTCCGAACACACATGGCACTTGAGTTGCTTTGGTTGGCCATCTATTTCGATGGAGTTAACAGTGCGGCGCTAACGTGAGATGAAAATAGTAGGTTAGGTTGAGGAAGGCCTGCATCCGTCGACACAAGCACCCGGAAGTCGGAACAAGAGAACGGTTGATACATGATAAGACACGGATGCCTTGGGCCTGAAAGTGTATTCTTCGGTCTCCTGTTGCGTTTCCAATCTTCCATCTAATAAACCTCCTTTCCCCTGCTTCAATCATTCGACTCTCCTCAGTCCTCCAAGAATCACACATCATGCGCTCCTCCATAATATCTTCAGTAATATCAGTCTCCAGTTTACTGGCAAGTATCACGTTTGCAGCACCAGTCAACAAACGCGATTATGCACCTTTCCCCCTCGCCAACGGCTTCCCAAACCCCAACCAAGAAGCCATCCTTCAGATCCAAAAAGACGGTCACGGCACCCTACCCAACGGCCCCCCACCCCCTACAATCAGCCCGGATGGCGTCATAAATCTCAAGCTCATTGCGCTAAACGAGCTGTTTGAAGTGGCCTTCTTTACCGAACTTATGGCCAACGTAACCGACAAAGCCCCAGGCTACGATCTCGGAGACAGACAGGGCTACATCATTGAATCCTTAAAAGCCATTGTCGCACAAGAAGAGATGCACGTCCTGAACGCAAACGAAGCATTGAAGCACTTCAATCAAGTTCCCATCGAACCCTGCAAATACAACTTTCCCGTTACCGACTACGCAAGCGCCATTGCTCTAGCAGGAACGTTCACAGATCTCGTTCTTGGTACTTTGCAAGACGTCAACGAACTTTTTGCTCGCTCGCAGGACTTTGGTCTTGTACGTGCTGTATCGTCCGTGATAGGAAATGAGGGCTCTCAAGAAGGTTTCTTCCGGGTTGAGCAAAAGAAGCGACCAAGCGCACAGCCCTTTATGACGACCGCAGCGCGCGACTTTGCTTTTACAGCGATACAAGACTTTGTTGTAAAGGGCAGTTGCCCAAATATCGACACTATCCCGCTCAAGACATTCAAGCCTTTGACGGTCGAAACCAAGGATATAAAGGCTGAGACGCAGAGTATTAAGTTTTCGTTTTCGATGCAGGATGCGGGAATGTTCGAGATTGATCACCTCAAGCTTGTTTGGATCAATGGGCAGAATGTGCCAGTTGCCAAAGGATTTGAAAATGTGCAGATGATGGACGACAGAGTCATGTTTGAGGCTGCGTTTCCGTTTGATGAGTTTGACATGGAAGGGTTGACTATCGCGGCTGTGACGATGGGTGCGGATACGTTCGATGGTGCCGGCGAGGTTGCAGAAAGAACGGTGTTTGGGCCTGGACTAATTGAGCTTGATTGAGTAGCGGGCCGATGAGACGTCGAGAAGTCGGTATTGCATAGCGATGGCGTTAGTGCGTTGTTCTTTCGGATAAGAAACGCATTCCTGGTGTGTAGTTAATGTAATGTCTTTTGATGCCCATGCTAGGGTTCCTCATAATCCTCGTGACTCCCCAGTATGCTGTGGCTTGCACGCGCGTATCTCATCCGAGCTCGAAGCAGACAATCTGAAAGCTAAAGCTCGCTCACAGGCCTCGCTAGCAGAGTATTCATATCGACCGTCTCCCTGAAACTCTTCAAAAACACCCTCATTGTGCTCGGCAGCTTTGGTTGATGCCAAATGCGCATTATGCTCATAATGTATTCCTCGTCAGGTTTCCTGTTCCTGTTCAGGTAGAACAGTGCATGGCCAAGAGGCGGCCATATAGCCATGACACCTGTTATGCCGAATTGCTCTTGAAGAAAGTAGCCGACTGACTTCATAATCATTCTTGCAAAAGGCCGGGGGTGCGGGCGATCGGGATGCGAAAGTAGGTTGTCGGTCGAAGGATCGATACCGCTTGCGATGTCGAGGCAAGAGTAGAGGAAAAGAGCCGTCAACCAATATCGGACTGTGACGCTGGCAACATCAATGTTGGGGAAGGTAATAGAGGTTGAGTTGTTGACAATCTTAGGTGTGTATATGGCGTTCGCTTTGTCGTTGACCCAAGCTTCCAGCTCGAAGTGCAGTGTCCAGCATCTTGCTAACGTATACACTTGTAGCCCTTCTCTCTCTTGTTCACTCATGCATTGGAACTGCAACTTGTCCACAGCTTCCAAGAGCTCGGGTATGCCGCAGAGGATGTCGATGAGAACATCGTCGGATGACTTGATTCGTCCCTTCCAGGGTATTGTCTTCCATCTTTCCTCATTCAGTATCGTTGGTTTTCTGGCGCGGGTAGCAGGCCCCAATAGTCGATACCTTGCATTAGTGAACAACATATGTGCTTCGTCGTTCTCCGCGAATAGTTCTGGCCCACGACTAACTATCATAGCTAGCTCGCCCTCACAATGGTTGAGCCAGCTCTTCGCCTGGCTGGTCGTGTTTGGTTCCGCGCCAAACAACATGTCGAATAGGGCCATGACTCGCGGTACAACAAGGAGTGACTCGCTATTCGCTCGGAAAGGGTTCTGTAGAGCTACAGCCGTTTCCTTCAGTGCTTTACCGTACAATGTTCTTCCCTGTCGTGTAAGACTTTCGTTGTTCGAAATTATCCCAAGCTGTGTTATACCGACTGCCAAAGCGGCCATCTGTAGTGCTTCATCGCGCGTACTGAGCATGGGCAACAAGCTCACAAACTCTTTTGCGTCCGTGTTGGTGGTGCGAATTATTCCCTCTGGATTGTACATACTTAGGAAAGTCGCAATCGTCTTTTCACTGTAAGCAGATCTGGCAAGCCCATCTGGCAACATGATTGGTACTGAAACAGGACGGAATTTCTGTGTCCCTGGATCAGACGCAGGCTTTACATGCACAATCTGCATGGTGTGCCGATGTGGCTGCTCGGGAGATTTTGAGGCGGTCGCATGCCGTCCTACTTTTGGTATAGAACGGGGAGACCCGCCTCCAGTTTGGTAGATGAATATGCGATCCGAATCGTAGCCTCCGCATGTGATGCCGCGTTCCTTGCATTGACCACACTCGGGCTGGGCCAAATCGCACTACATCCATCAGCCTCTCATCCTCAGGTACTCTCCAAAGACGCTCCCACTTACACCCTTCTTTCTCTTCCGGCATGTCACACAGCCTTTCGAACGTCCTGGAACGCCCACCATCTCGGGAGTTTAGAACAAGCGCATCCACGAAGGATCTCGTACGCTAGCTGTCGTTCAGCGCAGAATAGTCCCTTTATGGACACACGTTGTCTGCCTGCTAGCGTAACGGTGAAGCACGAAGCGTAGTGTAGTAGGGTTAGGAATCGGGCGAAGTACAGGGATAATGATTGGCGCGCATCTATCTATGACGATGCCGTGAATCTTTGGAAAGCTTGGAAAGTGGCTTCAATAAGGCGTCCTGTGTTGTCAGCTCATTGAGCCAATGGATCCTATCCGCGCCTTGCCCCTTTCGGCTGATTCTGCGACAGCTTTCGCTACCAGATTTAGGATAGCTTGCAACGCCGAACAATCGAGGCGAAGCTTTGAAGTGCAGCTGCATGCTGCCCACATTCTGTGGACCAGATCTAGCTAACCTTGCGCTGATTTGACCATGACTATCATCGATTCACAGCCTCGTTGATCGGCCAAGGTGGCGCTTCTGTCGCATAGACAACTCTTTGCGGGTTCATTGCGCGCACTAGGTACATACTACTGACATACTGCCTGATCGTGAAATCTTGTGCGTACTGGCGCAGAATCACCTCGATGCGGTATGAGGATGTGTTCCAGCATTGAAGTTATAACATGCGACCATCTCTCTCGAAGATGGCTCATACTTCAGCAAACATCATCATCTACACAATAACAGACCAGTCTCTCAAACTCAAACCAAGAAACAGTCACCCTTGAATCTCACGCATCTCATACCACCATGGTCGCATCACCACCATCAACCAGCGCTTTTGCCAGACACGTTATGAACCCACTTGGTTTCACAAAAGCCTACAATTTCTGGCTGTATATCATCTTTGGCGGCGCATTCGTAGGCTGTATGTTCCCTGTCATTTAAGACTCTTCACATGTCTCTAATACAATCTATAGTCGCCCTGGCTCGTATGTCCTATCTCGATTTCTCGAAAAACTTCTGTCCCGCAGATGGTGCCAGCCCAGGCGGCAACGGCGCAGCACCAGGAGAATGCTACTACTATCTCAACTTTAACCGTTACAAGATTGGTATCCTACTGCATCTCGCTGGTGTACTGCCCGCTAGTCTGCTGGCAGTGGTGCAATTCACTCCTTTCATTCGCCGGCGCTGGATTATCGTACACCGCATTGGTGGTTATGCGGCGCTCCTCCTATACCTCGTGGGCCTCGCTGGCGCGCTGATGATTGCACGACATGCATTCGGTGGTGGTCTGGATGTACAGAGCTTTGTCGGCGTTCTGGGTTTCGGTTCGCTAGGCTGCTTCATCATCAGTTATATCAACGTCAAGCGACTCCAGATCGAGCAACATCGTGCGTGGATGTTGAGAGGCTGGTTTTACGCTGGCACGATCATCACAAGTCGATTTATTGTGATCATCGCTGCCAAAATCATCGCATCGCAAGACTACTATATCGTTTGGAGCTGCGCGAAGATTGCAGCAACCATTTCCGGTGACGTGGACCTCGCAACTTCGTACCCTACCTGCGCATCCTTCGTCAACGGCACAGACCCCGAGGCAGTGTCAAGCGTGGCAGCAACTTTTGCGGTCGGGGATGCAGCAAACACTGGTGCGGCCCTGAATGTCGTCTTCGGTATGGCGTTGTGGGTGTCGCTTGCGCTACATGCCTTTGGTGTAGAGCTTTACTTGCACCTTACGCCGAAAGAAGCGCAAAGGTTACGACAGATTAGCTACCAAAGACAATTGGAGGCAGGCCTACGCAACCCTGGCTCTGCAGGGCTTACTACGGACCGTCTGGGAGATGCGGAAAAATGGGTACCAGAAACATCCAGTAAAGATAGTACGAGCATGCAAGCGACCGAGCCGACCGAGCCTAATATGGTAGCAGAGACGAAGTAAGATTGGGTTATATGATTTGGTTCTTTTCGCACAGCATACCGCGTTTTGATTTCCAAGGAAGATTGAGCATTTATTGCGAGGCATTAGACTAGTCCTTGAGATTACTATTAGGTTGTAATCTAGGCATTGCGCTTCGATACCCTACCAAAAACTTCACTTACATTACCATGAGTTCTTTAATCGTCAACTCTAGCGGTGAAGTATCACACCTCGCCCAGATTGCTCACCATGGCAGCTGAAGAGGAGTCGACAGCTTGTCCTTAGGTCCCAACACGGGCTCGGCAGTGCCAATGTCCCTGGAATCATGATTAGCACAGTGTTCAATCTGAGCTAACCTAAACCTACGCAGGTCCTCTTGGAGCCCAGTACTGTCCGGTATGACTAATATCGAACTGTTCAATCCATCCCACAAGCGACTGCGCAGCGACATCTGGTGTGACTGCGCCTCCTTCATCCCAGAACTTATCAAAGCCCACGTTACGAGTCATGTCCGTCCTCATGAAGCCTGGATGTACGGTGACTATCGCAATGCCACGGTCTTTCAGATCCAGGCTTAATAGTTTCGCACACATGTTGAGCGCTGCTTTGCTGGCATGGTGGCCATAGTTGCCGCCACCCTCCGACTCATGTCTGAGTGTAATACTGCCGCTCTCGGAAGATACAAAGACTATCTTGGACCGGTCATCGAGAAGTGTGCTGTTGTAGTTGGCAAGTGCGGTTACGAGTGTGGTAGGACCGATGGCGCATATTGTATACATGCGCTGTTGAGCAGAAAAGGAGGGCTCCTTAAGCGACTCAGTTGCAAAATAGCCTGCTGTTATTATGATGATATCCAGGTGGGGTATCTTGTGTGATTCAAGAGAGTGGACGAGGTCGCTGCCAGCATGTGGGGATTCGAGGTCGATGTTTGGAATGTAAGTGATATTGCTTGCTTTGGAAAGTCAGTTGATTTGTCACAACATTGTAACAGAACAAGGAGTCACTCACTATTCTCTGGGGGTTCTGACGTCCTCGCTGTAGCCAGAACGTGGTTGTTTGCGTCTGCTGCATATGTTTCTACGATGCTCGCACCCAGGCCGCGAGTAGCTCCTACAACGCTAATCTCGGGTGTACAACCTCAGTATGCGTCTCACATGCAGCTCATAGAGGAACACTTACAGTATGGTAGGCATGTCAGCAGTAAAAATGATATAGTGATTGTTCGAGGAGTGTCAATCATAATCGAAAGGAAACAAGACGTGACGCTCAAGGTGAAGCATCCTGATGACGTCGCACGCGGGTCGGATTGCGAGATGGCGCTAAGATAAGAACGCGTCGCGTCTGGAGAGCGCTCTTACCGCCTCCCTGGCCTTAGACTACCGTGTATGGCTCGCTTGGCACGGATGTCTTCTCGTGATTCTGACAGCCCTGATCGTGTTAGCTGGAATAAGTTGTTTAGTCATTCGATATTGCGTTCATCTGCGTCTTGGGAATGAACCTCTACATGTACAATAGCGGAGACGAATTTACAAGAGAGAACCATGCAAGTGTTAGTCAGAGTATATTGTATCTGTGAGACACGGCAAATAAGACCATGGTGTAAACACGAATGACCGATGTTCGGATTGAATTTAGAAGAAGCTTTCTCCGACCCTAAAACTCCAACTACCAAAGCGACCGAGGTCCAAAGGCCTGCCAACATGAGGAAGTATCAACGTTCATGACCTAGCATCCAATATCAACGAGTGATGGTCAAAGTCATTACCTCCCAATGCGTATACATGCCCTTATGCAGTGGCTTTTCTTCGATATGAATTAAAGATTGAATAGGAAAGTGGATATTTGTAGGCTTGCAGGATGCAATAATAGAGAGAAAAATCAAGCTGAATACCAGGGACATGTCCAGAGAAAAACTCAGCGAACGCCGGATCAAGGGTAAAACTACAACAGAGGGCAATGTCGATATAGCTGCAGGAGAATGTCATTTGGCAGGGGTATGTGATCATCACTGCATGCGTTTCCGCTTGCGCGCGTCGTCCGGTTCATCTTCATCCGTGCGCTCCGCAGTTTCGGCAGGATTAAGTAGCGAGTGCACGTTGGATGCCATGCTGGATCGTCGAGTAGGTGGTCCAGGCGTGTCGATACCTTTAAAAGGGTACCTAGCTCCTGGTAACGTCCACCCACTGTCTGCGCTTAATGTCGATGGCATATTGTCACTTGACAATGGAGGGGTACCATGTCTTGACGACGCTTGCCGTGGACCGCGGGGTAGTTGGTATGATTCTAATGCATCACGGAGCTGCTGGTCACCTCCTCCGATAGGTGGGCGGTGAGGTGAGGAGGGCCACTGTGTCGAGTTGTGACCAGAAGCATAGGGCGAGTGAACTGGCCCACTAGGTGGTTGCGGTTGCCAGCCATGGGTGCGGATATCTGCCGAGGTGTGCCGCCTGTATAGATTATATGGTGGGGATGAGCTGCTTGGCAAGTTGCTTCCAAGGGTTGCAGCTCCTGGTTGCTGGACTGGTGGAGGAGGAGGTGGAGGTGGGGGTGGCTGATGTGAAACTGGGGTTCTGGCTGAAGATGGAGAGTAATTACCCGTGCCTATTGATCCGTACCGTCGGGGAGAGATTGCAAGATGCGCCGGGACCGGAGCCTTGTATGGAGCTTGCCGTGAGATACTCGCCAAGGATCCTCTTCGTGAGTCTATTAGATTGTCTTGTGGCATTTGCCGAGGTGAAAGAGGTGGGCCGTTGCTGGAGTCTACTTGCATAAAGTAAGGTTGGCGTGCCGATAGGGGTGGCTCTTCTGGTGGCTCTAGTGCTCGGAGCATGTCTGTTTGTCGAGCAATTTCACGTTGCATCATAGCCACTAGCCGGGTCAGTAGGTGTGTCGCGCAGATAGGGTTCAGGGATAGACACGTACCATCCCTGTGAATTGGATTTTCCGGGTCCGGCACCATCTGCATGATCAGAGTTGCGAGGTCTTGGTTCCACTGAGTTGTATATTAGCTGCTGTAGATCAGGTCGAGACAATCGACTTACCTGGTGACACTTCATCATGCCCTCGGCTAGGACCGAGCTCCGTTGATTGAGGTAGGCACATGTGTCTTCTGACCGCTGCATGCGCGCGTGCATGTCATAGAGGCTATGCTCAAGATTCTGGAGGCGTGACTCTGTAGGGTCCGGCATCGGCTCGACTGGCTGAGCAGCTGGTGGTCCAGTAGGCAGTTTGGGTGCGGAGAAGGAGTCGCGATGGATGAGGGCGTGTCTCGAAGCACGTCGCTTAATCTCTCGTAGACCGACTAGATCTCCGCGTTTGAAGTTTCCATTGCCATGCTTGAACTCCCATAGTGGTGTGTCTGGAGATCCCGTGTGAAATACGTCGCTCACTGCAGTAAGCTGTCAGCATGTAATAGACAGGACAGCACAGAATACCTGGACACGCACCTTTGTGAAAGCCATACATGTTTAATTGGCGGACAAAAGAGGAGATGTTGGTGTGTTTAAAGTACGACCTGGGATGGGTTAGCTGGGGAGGTTGAGACGGCTGGACTCTAGATGCACGTACGACAGCACTTTCGAGAACTCGCTCGAGGGTGACATGACGAAGCTCTCGTTGGTGCTCGCCCAAGAGATGAGGTGCTGGATGCTCTGGTCCTCGAGCATGCTGTGTCGCGTTAGTGTCGCATCGCTTGTGTACTGTTGCGGCACACCCACTTGTATAGCTTGTGTATAAAGGCCGTCTGGACGACCTTGGGCTGCTGTGCGGCAGCGGCAGCGCCCACGGCAGGCGCCTGGTTGCCGTTGGGCGATGTGTTGCCCGAGTCTCCATTTCCTTCTCTTTGCGACTGGGATTGGAAGGAGCTTGTGCCGTTGCGGTCAGAGGGTGGGCCCATGGTGGACGAGGTGGGCGTGATGTCCATGGGGTCTCTAGGCGGCGCAAGCGTCGAGCCAGACGAGGGCAGGATGGGTATCGACTTGTGGAGGTTGGGATTGTGTGGATCGGCGGAGAAGGGACTCCGGCGGGCCTCTGCGACAGAAGCCATGGCGTTGGGGTCAAGTGTGGAGAGCAGGCGCCGTGGTGAGATGGCCCGCGGACGCTGGATGCAGAGGTTCTCCTGAGGAGCGTGTCGAAAAATGTGAAAGCTCTATGGATGCAGGGTCCCGATTTGCGGTGGGCAGCGAACGTGGTAGGGCGGAGAAGGTGCGGAGGAGCATGCGATATGTGTGGCCGACGTCGCCGCAGGAGCTTTGAATCGGCGGGCGCGCGCTTCTTGGAAGGTTCCTAGTCTTTGGGATTTCTTCTAGCGCCTGCGCGAACCGTACAAATTTGGTTCCAGAAAGGTCGGGATGGCAGACGGTGCGAGTGGTCCTTTGTCGGATCGGGAGCGGCCGTAGCTGTGGAATAGGAGCTCGCACAGGGGGTCCAAGCGTTCTTCTACGCCGTTTGACACGCTTCTCCAGGGCACAATTCCATATGCTGTGTTTGAGCGCAGCGCCGTCGAGGGCGATGGAGGGCTTGGCGGGGACGAGGAGACGACAGCGATGTGCGAAGGGCTGTGTCGCAAAACTGGCACGGCAGCAGTCGAGGGCGGAACGGTAGCGCTGCCGAAGGGGAATTACGGGGGATCGATGAGGTTGGAGCGTGCTGCGGGAGCCAAGTGTCATCCATCTATCTATATCTATCTATGCTACTCGTGCCCGACCGACACGCCAGCGCCGGGTGACTGTCTGTCCGCAGTCGGATTTGCTACTGCTGTAGGGCAGTTGGCATGCACCTCACCCTCACGGCAAACACTGGCGGCCATGGCGACGCTTGCATGCGTCCACCACCCCTGTCGTCGGCCAGCTGCAGGTCGAGACACTGAAACATCGCTCGACCATAATAACCCACCGCTAATATCACTATAACGCGAACTGTTTCTGCTGCGGGGGTCAGCGTATAATGCGGCTGATATGACTATCCTTACACCGCGTTCCCGTGATGCGGATGCGGTCAAGTCGCACAGATTGGCATACGGCACCATCGCCAGACTTGCCTCTCTGGCAAACTCCCATGCCCACTGTCAAACTCCCTCGGCTTTGCTTTTGCTATCGGGCCCAGGGTCCAGGGTCCGCAGGATTGGCTAGCCGGCCTACCCGCACAGACGTTCACAGAGACGTCAACCACCAAACCCATATCGAGTCAGCACTCGACCGACTTTCCCCAGCCCACTTGGAAAACGTTAGGCGCTACCCCAGAGCTACTGCTCGCCCGTACCACGCAAAGCATATGATTGCACGACTCGGCTCGCGCATCGCTATCGATAGCTCTGCTTGTCCGTCGCTCACTGATCGACAGCAAATCCAACATGGCCACTGACTTCATCAACGCATTTCGACGCCTTCAGACACACGAGAGAGGCCGGGCGCTCCAGGATCTAACAGCAGAACTATCAACCTATGAGTGGAGAGCACTCCATGCCGCGACCAGCAGCCGCACCTTTCAATTCGATGTCATCGGCAGTCTGCCAGTTGAGCTAGTGGCTCAGATATTTTGCCTCTTGGATCCTGCTACTCCATATCGCCTCCAAAGTGTCTCAAAACGATGGCGCGATACCCTCCGGAGTCTACATGTCCTCAAAGCAAGCCTCAACCAGTGGTATCAAGGTACTGTCAATCTTCAAGATGCTGAATACGCCCTGTGTAAAAAGAAAGCTCGCGATATACATGCTTTTCGCACTGGCAAGCCGAGTCGTATCTACAAAATCATTCCCAAATACGATTCCGACGAGTCACTCCTTCCTAGCAACCCGATCTACGATTTCAAGCTGGTAGGCAGTAGTCTCATCTGGCATCACGTATTCCACCGCGATGTGACCCCATCACGCTCCGCTTGCGTGCTGGACCTTGATACATGGCATCTCCGCGTGTTGGGCGGAGAAGCACGTGAGCAAATCATGAATGTCTTCGCATCTAGTGAAATCGTGGTGCTGACCACATATGCAAACGTTTGCTACGTGCATGAATTGCGAGGCAAACAAGGCTGCAAGAAGTTCAGAGTACCAAACAGGAACTACCTCAAGAACGTTAGCTGTCGTGGACGCACTGTCGCATGTGTTGCCTATGTCGACCACCACACATCGGTGTATATCTGGGAGTACGATTCGCAGCGTGGCAGGACGTTTGAGATCAGGCACGAGTCGGGGAACATATTCCTCGACCCGCGGTAGGTGACTTTCTGCATATCCTAAACCTGAACCGTGCCTGTCTTACCAAACGACATCTATGCAATAGTCTCGGCCATTTTGGTTTGTAAATCTAACTCGTGCTCAGGAGACACGATTCATACATTCTAGCTCCTCTTGTACAGCCCAAAACCCAGACGATCGTCATATTTACCGGAGCTTCACGTAGTCCTACACCTTGTCAGGGCCCACGAGATTTCGAATTTCGTCGCTACACGTACCGCGGAGAGTGTATTAGCACCCATCGTGCACGCCTACCTGCTTTTGATGGCGCCCGAGGATTTGAACGTCCAGCCATAAACGGCTTTGTTCCAGTAGACTACAAAGAGTCTATCTTCGCGATATACATGCACCATTATGACATTGCTCAGGGGGAGATGTCGCTCTTGCTACGGTTCAATGAGGAGGAAAATGACCTAAGTGTTTGGCAGGGTCCGAAATACCAGGGTAAGCAAGGCTCATGGTGGGATTCACTGGCATGGTGGAGAGACACCTGCTATGGTGATCGATGGGATCATGAGGCCGAGCAGCGAGACATGATTGCTCAAATGGGTACTAGTGATGCTAAACGCTACGTGCCCGTCGTCTGGGACACGAAGGACTTCAGGAGGACCCTCGTCTGGGAGAAGTTAAATTCGCCTATCGTGATGAACGAAAAGTACATTGTCAGGAATACGGTGTTACATTTCTATATACTCTGTTTCGGCGATGATGATGAAGGCCAATGGCCGAAGAAGAGCGGAACACTCTTTGATATGTGGGAACTTGAGGTGTTAGATACAAATGTATATTGATATATACACTATTTGTAGTCAGTCATGCATGATTGCAGACCTGCTGCTACTAACGGTTTCACAACCCATTGCGTGCATGTGAATCATCGAACCACGCCTCATCTGATTGGCTCACAAGAAGGTTGCGGGGCACAAGACACCCCACCTTGGATTTTCGGCGTACGCCGCTCTAGCCTTGCCTACTCAAGTAGGTAACCATTTCGACTCTGCCGCGGCGTGACAGACTTTTTTTTGCAAAAACAATTCTACTCCGCCATTCAACTCATATACCACTTTTTACGCTTCAAGGCCGTAGTTAAGAACACTGTCGCGAAAATGGTCGAGAAGGTCTACGTCACATACAACCAGGTACGTGCAGGATGAAATGTTACACATGCGATCAGACACCCCGCGCACACACGCGCATGTGGTATGCTTGTGTACCGCAACCAGTCCGCGGGTATACAACACGAGAACTGGTATCGCCTCGACGCGGCTGTTGCAGCAAACACCTCCAGAGACTCTACCTACGTCCCCACGTATGCGACTATGACGAACCTGGAGCCCTTACACAATATCCAGTAAACAAAATACGCAGAATGCAGCTGACATCCTCCCTCCCTCCAGGTCCACAAGCTCTGCCAAGAGGCAGCAGACCAAATCCTCAATGAGTTCCAGCCTAACCTTATGATCGCCATTGGCGGTGGTGGTTACGTCCCTGCGCGTATCCTCCGGTACGTAACCTCCAAGTCCCATTTCAAGGCCTCCGAAACCAAGAACCCCTCAACTAACAACCTCTTCAGTTCTTTCCTCAAGAAGCCCAACAGCCCCAACATCCCCATCCAGGCCATCGGTCTCTCCCTTTACGAACAACTCGGCTCGGGTCCCGACTCTGAGGTCGAAACCCCCGGCACAAAAGTAACACGAACCCAATGGCTGGACCTCTCCTCTCTCGAGATGGCCAACCTGATCGGCAAAAACGTCCTCATCGTTGACGAGGTAGATGACACACGCACCACCCTCGAATACGCCGTCCGCGAGCTGGAGAAGGATGTCGAGACCGCAGTCAAGAAGCTCGGCCGCGAGGGCGAGAAGACAAACTTCTCAATCTTCGTCTTGCACAACAAGGATAAGGCGAAGAAGGGTCAACTGCCTCAGGAGATTCTCAAGGGCAGGTATAGTGCTGCTAGGACAGTTGGAGATGTTTGGATCAACTACCCTTGGGAGGCTACGTATGTTTTGCTCCTTTCCCTCTCTCTTTCTCCTCGGTCTTTTATATTTGGATACTAACAACCGGGTAGCGACATTGACGAGCATGACCGTTTGTCGAGGGAGCAGGAGAGCAAGCAATAAGTGTTGATGTCGAAAGAGGACATTGGATAACGAGGGAAAAGCATGATGACATTTAGGCATTCGATCGAGCATTTACGGATGGGATACACTGGAGTTATCTGGAACAAGGATCGGAACCGGGTTTGGAATAGAACAGCATCAAATCCAACGAGTTACTACATGGTCTTTCCCCAAACACGACAAGTTGACAAACAGCAGATGTGAAGATGAGTAATGGTACAACGAACGAACTGGGTATATTGATTGACTGATGAGGGTCATAACATCGTAATCATTACCCAACAAAACGTCCATCCGATGCCATGCTATGCTACGACAGTAGCCTGTCTCAATCCTTCTACTTTCTGCAATCTCTCCGTCTCAACTCGCCCACACAAAGGGTATATCATGATTATTATACAAGAAGAAACAAGCATTTCAAAATATCCCAATAACCCCGCCATTTTTAGTCAACGCCAGATGATGGAAAACGCTGCAAACGTATATGTAAGTATGAAAAGCACGGTCGACGACATTGGACTCGTGCTAAACGTCTAGTCGGTTATTTTTGGAATGGGCAATAGAAGTCTCGCTTCACTTTATGCCCATCTTGCGGAACTTTCGGGATGCGCGACGGCGTAGGCCGTTCATGCCCATGGCCTTCCGGAGGCTATCCCTGTCTCCGTCTTCTTCGTCCTCCTGTGGTACGCCGAGCAGTCTTCGACCGTTCGTGTTCTTGACAGAAGTTTGATGCGCTATGATGTTCTGATCGCGCCAGAACATTCGTTTTTGGTCAATGACATTCTGCGACAGATTTCCAAAACCCTTCTTCACGAACGCCAGGTCGTGCAAGATATTCGGGTCGAGGCAGCGCCTAGGTAGTGTCTGCACGGCCATGAAGATCTCGCCATCACCAGGACGGTATTTCCTGATTTCGGGTTCACCGAGCTTGAAGATGGCAAGAGCGTAGCGGTATAGGGCACGTGGTCCCTCGTAGAGAAATGCGTCCCAGACGCGAAGTACGGTCTCGATTGGCAGGACACCGACGAAGATGCTCATGAACCAAGAAGTACAAGAGAGGGCGACTGTGGGTTGTCGTTGGAACTTCGAGTTGGGATGAGCGTTTGAGCCAGCGCCGCTGTTGATGAGATCGGTGTCGTTGATCGACGCCCACACCTTTGGCAGATAATCCTTGATCAACATCATAAGTACGTTGACTTCCGTGTTTGCCAGGCTGCGAGCGTGGGCACCTGGGAGATGGTTTTGCGTGATAATAGTAAGAAGGATGAAAACCTTCTCCTTGTCCTGCTTGAGAAACAACAGAAGAAGACCAGCAATAAAGTTGAGAGACTGGCAGTAACCAATGTTGGGATTGTTCAAAGCAAAGCAAGAGAGCACCTCGCGCAGGTCTTGAATCAATGCTGGCTCGTCGTCAGACTCGCCGTCGAGTAGATCAGTTGCTGGTTCCGGACGGAAATGAATGTTGTCGGGGAACGTCCTGTCGAGATCGCGTTCAATTGCATCTTTGTCGTCCTTGTTGAGCTCGTCTTGGTTGACGCGAGCTACTAGAGACTTGTACAGACCGACATTTTCCTTCTGTGTAATCATGTGCTGACCACCAGAATAGAACCACCACATTGCACCTCTCCACTCAGGGGGATATCCTTTACGAGCGTATCGTTTGACCTTTTCGCACATATCAGGGAACCTGGTTGGCTCATTTGTCGGCAGACCTTGCTTAGCCATCAGGGAGATCCATTTGCCTCTCCTGCGGGAGATATGCTCTTCGTATCTGGAAGCCCACGCGTTATACTCCTGAACGTTGATCTTGTCAGAAGCCTTCTTGAATCCATAGCGGTCTCTCTCCACAGGCGCAGCCGTCTTTCGCAGACCAGGCATTATCACAGTCGTGACGTGCTGGTTGGGAGGTGCTAACGTGGGGGTTCTCGGAGTCTCAGGCTTGCTCTTGGTAGTTGTAAGTTGAGACATCATCCCAAGATCAAACAAAGCGCTCTTCCGGTCGAACACACTCGTAGAAGCGCGGCGGGGAATTGCCTCGTCTTCATCCAGCTCGGGGAGCGGCTGAGATCTCTGCATAGGCGGAGATTGAGGCATGTGGGAACTGGCCAGAGATTCATTAGAAAAGGTACGTGGAACGCTTGGTCTCTTGCTATGTCGCTTGGAGTAGGCCTCAATGTTAGCCCAATCCTGGCGTGAAAGTCGGGATCGGCTAGGCGGCAGTTGTGGAAGTCCGGATATATCGCGGCGAATGTGATCGAGTTGTGAACGGCTGCCATTCGATTTCCTCGCGTGGTGTCCCTTGGTTTCTGTGGTCCTGAGCGCCAGAGCTTGCAATGTAACAGATACACGCCTGGGTGCTTCTTCACTTGTCCTTTTTGGTACGCCTGACTGTCTCTTCTTGGACTGCTGCACTACAGCTTGAATTGTTCGTGGTGTATATGCGGCCTGGAACGGGCTGATTTGTACCGAGGGCAATAACTCGATACGTAACGCCTTTCGCTCGGCGGGATCCGCGTTGTATGCCTCATCCAGGTCCGACCCAGAGGGTGGCCGAATCGTCAACAGCTCCTTCGAGTCGACATTGGTTCCTAGCTTACCATTCAGGCTCTCGTTGGACTGGAAGGAATCTAATGAGTCGAAATCGCGAGATGGCGTCTGCGATAGCTCAGGAGGCTCTGAGTCAAGACCTACTGGCGAAGGGCTTTGCAAGTCTCGTTCGCCCTGCTCAATTATAGGACTGCGCTCTTCATCCTCCTCGTCATAATAGTAGGAATCCAGCACGTCGCCAACAGGGTCTACGTATTCATCTTCCTCGGCAATTTCGGAAGTCTGGATTGTTTCTGGTGAGCCGTCGCGTTCCCGAAGACGGTCTCTCGATGGGTCTCTCGAGTAAAGGCTATTTTGCCGATCACTGGCGATAGAGCTCCGTGCGGTGGCAATACTGCTTCTTTCTGTACCGCTGGTTTCTAGTATACTCGAAGACGCATTGGTCCACCCGGACCTAAAACTGGCCCGTGGCTCTTCGCCGCGAAACGGTCGAGGTGGAGTAGGATAATAGTCGTTGTGGGCCCAATTGGGGGCGCCTCTGTTGGGTTTGTAGGTGCCAGATAAATTAGCGCGCCCGGTGCCTCCATATTGGGCGTAGTCGGGAACAGATGTCACTGATCTTAAGGGAGGAGTTGGTTGGAAGGACTGCTGCGAAGAGCCAGTCATCCCGCGGGGTCTGAAAGGTGAGGCAGGTGACCCAGGCAAATCCTCGTTGGAAGAGTCCCACGACGGCCCAGTCGAGTTGACAGGATTGCTGGCCAGAGGGTTGAAAATGGCGCGAAGATCAGGCGAACGTGGGCCGCTATCTGGGCGAGCCATTGTATGGGCCATTATTGGGGACATTGGGCCTTGTCCCATTCCAGCTTGGATGTCATTAAGAGAGGAGGGTATGGCAGCATGGCGGAGGAGGGAAGGAGCTCGCTGGCGTTGGGCGAATTTGGGGGAAGGCAGTGCCGCAAGCGGGAGGGACGGGCTGTCTGCAGGCGATGGGCTGTAGACGGGGTGCTCGTATGGCGGCGCGTCTGCTGTGTCCATCTGGAGCTGAGCTGGCTGCTTGGACCGATGTAATCCGAATCCCCTCTTCGCCGCGTACGGCATCTGCGGTTGCGGAGACGTTGGGGGAGTGTATTCGGTAGTGGGTGACGTGTAGGGAGCGTGTGGCTCTGGGCTCCTGTCAGCATCAGCTACGGGCGAGACGCCTGTAGCGACACGTAGAAGAGCGTCGCCCATTGTGTGGTCAACGGGTGCAGAATGTGGTGGTGTAGGTCAGCGGAACAGGCGCTCATTCGACCGGAGAATAGGACAGCTCGGATTTGGTGATTCGCGGTAACATTCTCGGGTGCGAGTTGCAGGCTACGAAACGAGGGTGAGTGGTTGTCGTGAAACGGCGCGGATTGGTGTCGAGCCTGTGGAGAGCCTGCTCTGGGGCGTGGCGGTGATGGCGGCGGCGGCGGCGGCGTTGGCAAGCAAAAAGCAGTCGGGGCAGTGAACGGGTAAAGTGAAAGAATGAGGTCGGGTTCGAAGGATAAGGAACGTGGTGTGCCGCACTGGCGCGGGTGCAATCAGACGGTGGTGAGGAGATGAGTGCGGCCAAAGTGTAGCAGGAAAGTCTCCTTCAGCTGCAGCGCCTGGATCCGTCCGTCACTGACTCTCTGCCAAGACGCGGCGCTTCCCTCATCCCCGATTCCTGTAAGCTGGGAGGTCGCGGGCCGGTAGGAGCTTGGTGGACCTCTGTGGGCTTGTCAGAGGAGTTCGTTACTTTGACATGCAACGGCACAAATTAGGAGAGTTGCATAAGCGCTGCAACAGGTACCGACGGCCGGCAGCCTCGCGACATTGACGCGCTCCCGGCCAATCAGCCGCGGGCAGACTATTGAAACACGGAGATCACAGCAATTACCAAGCAATACACCTTGTACAAGATTACCTCGTCTGTCCGCTCGCTCGATGCATGGCGAGCAGGACGAGCAGCTCCCAGGGCGGCTCTCTCGGATTACATGATGCACTATTTGCTTTGCTGGAACACTTGCGAGGGACTTCTGAGGCGCGTGCCACACGCTTTGTTGCGCCTGACTCGCTAGCACCGCGCCCTTGGCCCTGCACTCACAGCCTCCAAGCTCTCACCCGAAGCGAACAAACTTGGATGGTCGACCTGCCTAGGACAGCAATCTCAGATAGGAAGTGCACTAGGCGGTGGAAGCCTTTCTCGGGCTTCGAGAAGGAAATTTTCAGGTCCCCCCTGGTAATATGCTGCGGCTCGCTTCTGAGAGCACTGGCATGGGAGATTTGAACATGACGACATGTTGCGGTTTGAACTCATCTTATTTGGTGAACCTGAGTAAGTCTACCCTGCATTAATCGCCCGATGCCTGGCTAAGTCGTGCGTGCATCGCGATCTGCAAAACATTGTATGCTTCTTCGCCCACACCGGTCAAGACGGGTTCCGTCCGCATGCAAATTTCGCCGAACGCCAAAGATGCAAAATGAATATGTATCCGTCAAGCTCTGTGCTGCCCCAACCGATGCCCACGTCCGCCTGGCCGGTAAAGGACCCGTGAGACCCCTCACTTGGCGTAGCGCTTGACCCAGTCCTTTGCGTTCTTCTCAAACTCCTTGCGGTTCTCCCGGTACTCGTTGGCGATGGACGGCTCAATCGCGTCGTCCGGGTTGGGCTCGATGAGCAGCGTCTGGATTAGGCGGAGCACCGACACGACCTTGTTTGGCGGCTTCCACTCATCGGCACGCAGCAGACCCAAGCACATGGACCCCTTGTCGTCGTTGCTGACGTTGGGGTGGTAGATCTTGGTTCGGAAGCTGACGACGGGTGGCTTGAAAGGGTATTCGGTCGGGAAAGTAATCTCGAGCTTGAAATGCCCGCCCTGCATAGCTGTTAGCAGGCGCTACCGAGAGCGCACGGAAGGCGCATGGATCAGACAATCCAACATACCGCGTAGGCCGACTGGGCTGGGCCGTCCATCAACACTTCCCACTTGGTCATGTTCTGCTCGTCGAAGTTGATCTTCATACCGGGCGGTGTGTCAGCCATGCACTCGCCGTACTCCTATCGTCTTGTTGTTAGTACACTTGCTTCTGCGCCAGGGCAATTTGGCTTGCCTTCATGATACGCTTCTTCGCTCCGGTGCTCATGGTTGCGATTAGTTGGTGTGGTTGCTCTGTTAAGTTTGGTTGAGACTGTCTACGGCGACGCGGTAGGCAGTGTAGTTGAAGTAGTCAGACAGAAGCAGGCGCCCGCTGTGAATGTGCAGGAAGAGCGACGAGTAAGAATAGAATGCAACAACTTCACTCTCCGTGTAGGTAAGTGGGATGCAGTGGCAGGTGATGGACGTGAAAAGAGGGTTGTAGATGTGGGGAAAGTTGCCTATGGATGACGAGGGACCTTGGATCCTTAGTCAAAGCTCCGCACGCGGCCCGGAAGACGATCGCCTTCACACGTTCTGGTAGCAGGGACACGCTAGAATTCACACGTTGTTCGTTCCATATCTGTCTCTTGTTCGCATCACGTCTTGCTGAACTTCACTCGAGTGTGTGAAAACACGACGACGTCATACCATCACCAGGGAACGGTAGTATCGCTACTTTGCGCCTCATTTGCGAGTGCCGAACATCAAGGTGCATCCCCGTCACCACATCTTACCAAGACTCCCATGTCCTTAATCCACACTTATATCTCCGAGACTTGACATCCTCGACAGTCATCTAGAACACGTGGTTTTGACCTCTTTGACGGGCTAATGTGTTTCACCTTGGACTTGACAGCTGCTAGACGCTTACGACTGGCTTACTGACCGACTGCAAGGCGAAGACCACGATAAGGACCGCGACGCATCTAGCAGCAGCAGCTACAGTCCCTGAACACGTAGGCCACGCATTTGCTCGCTTCACCACTAGGCATAGCGCATAAGCGCAGTATTATAGTTCGGAGCTCTGGACCTACTTCTGCATGTTGTCCCCGACCTGCAAAATCTTCCTGAATCTAGACTTGGGCGCGGTGCATTGCAGGACTGGACATTTCGTCACTCATTGCAGCCACTATCTTCGTGAGTCACAGAGGCCGCCCAGCAACCCCAGGTCACGTTACACCGCGATAGAGACGTGACGCGCACACAACAAACGGTCCGACCAAAACGGCTTTACTTACAAACTTCAGCTCCCTGTCCATGCTAGCTTTTTTTCGCGCCTCGAATCTACGTCGCTAGGTCCAACACACCATATCGCGTGCTATTCGTGGCTCGCTTACTGTCAATCCTCAGAGGAACTGCCATGTTCCACGGTCTTCCATGTTTTCAGAGGGCATCAAATGAGGAGGTGCAAACAATGACGCCTCGCAGCCTGATAGATATCTGCTGAAGCCCAGCATGCAGCAATGGGCGAATAGCAATAGGAGTATGCATGTAACATAGCCCCAGCCTGCCAGCGCTAGTTGTCCAGGCTACAGGGGCACCGACTTGGCATCGTCGGTATTTAACAAGCTGCGACCCCACAACTTGAATCTTTACGCCTCACGACAAGCCTGAGTTCGACAACCAAAGCGTGCTTTATCTTCACCACCAGTGTTGGTAAACTCGCTAAGCTCTTCGGATTTTCAACGACTTTTCTCCCCCGAAAGGTTTGCGAAATCTGAGAGTTTCCGGAGCTCCCATTTCTCTCATATGAACGCTGCGTCACACTAACCTGTCCACTCTTTACGAGAAATTCCGTCGCTCGCTACTTCGATCTCTCTCTTCGGTCAAGATGTTCGGCAAACGCTCTTTCGCTAGCTCGAAGGAGAAAGACCGTTCAGGCAAGATCACCAAACAGCCGAAGAGATCGTTCCGCGATGCGTCTAAGCAGAAGGTCATGGCCGAGAAGCTGGATACGCGCAAGGACAGTCCAATGATGGATGGTGGCTCACCAGCGCTCACCTCTTCCATCGTGACAGTCATCGTTGGTTCCGACCAGCGACTGTTCGCCGCGCATGAAGATGTATTAAGTCACTCTCCGTATTTTGCTGAACTGCTGCGGGGCCAGTTCTTCGAGTCCGCTAATCGCCGCATCGATCTGCCCACGGAGGAACCTGAGATTTTCAGTTGTATCCTCGAGTATTTGTACAAGGGCGACTACTACCCACGCCTTGTCCAAGACAAGCGCCGCCAGACCTGGATGCTCGAAGGTGCAATTGCCTCACCCGACCCAAACAAACCCGGCGACCGCGCAGCTGCTGTCGAGCCAACTTTCTTCCACTCCGGCGTAGGAGACGTCATTCTCCGCGACACAGCAGTCTACTGTGCAGCTGATCGCTACGGCCTCGAAGAGCTCAAGAAGCTCTCTCTGCGCAAGCAGGGCCTGCAGAGCGGGATCGAGGTCGGAACCATCTTGCGCAGCGCTCGCTACGCGTACGAGAATACGCCGGATAGCGACTCGCGGCTGCGCGCTCATTACCTCGCTCTGATTATCCGCAGTCGGAAAACTTTCAAGCGTAGTGGCACCATGCAGATGGAGATGGAGATGGGGGGAAAACTGTTCTTTGACCTGTTCGTGGCTATGTGCAATCATGTCGATGATCTTGTGGACGCGAGGTACGCCTTGCGCCTCTCTGTTCTACCCTCTTTTGAAGATTCTTGCATATTGTGATGTTGATCTCGTACTGACAATCCGGCAGCGCCTCAGCCCGCGGCACTCCTAGGACCATCTAAAGACACTGATTCGCACACCCACTTACCCGTCACCGCAACACCCGCAAACAAACACACCTCGCATACAACCCCGGAGTAAACACCAAGTTGGAAACCATACCTTACTCCGCTCGCACATCCAAATTGCCGACCAGCGACAAAACGTGAAAACAACCAAAAACATTCGGCGTACCGTTGTATCATCCCAACTCATCTTATCTCTCTTGCTCGCTCTCTTTTACTAGTGGAGTTTGCTTACCCCTATCGCGTTCCCCCTGATCCTTAATTCAACGATATCAACGAGCTCTTCCCCTCTCTGCTTGCGGAGAGAGTACACGACGACGAAACTGTGTTTCCTTTGTTTTGTGCTTTAGGGAATCAAGCGCTTGTTGTATGAATACCAAGGAAAAGAAGGGACATTCGTTTTTGGAAACATGGTGCTGCGTGGATCAGGAAGACATCGTGCTGGAGAACACCACTCTCTGGTGGAGACGTGTTCGATGCGGTGACAGATTGATCGAGACCGCTCGAAAGGTTCTGACTGACTGTGGAGGATAT